AAGTCGTCTGATGGTGAAAAATTTACATGAAAGGATATCATTTACTCATGAAAAGAGGACATATAACCATTCACTGAAAACTCACGTGAAAAGTTTCACATTGCAAAAATTTACGATAGAGAAATATATTTATGTCATACATAACTAAATCAACGTTAAGCAATATATCTTTTCAAATTAAACCACGCATTAATTAGTACATTACGAATCGTATACCATGCAGAATATAATAAATCTTTTTCATTTTTCACGTAAATAAAATCATGATAACTAATCAGATAACTAATCAATTTATGTTATAGAATCAGCTTAAAAATTCTGGCAACACTAGGTATACTTTTAATAACGTAACTTACGTAACATGATGAATTTCGCAACGATTCAGAGTCTTGTGATATCGAGCTGCAAAGATAAAATTAACATTGACACATACCGAAGAATTGTGCCGAGTTTGAATATTTTGCGAGAAAGAATAGCAGTGATAACTGCAGGATTTTCTATACATCACATGTGCATAGTTCACAAGAAACATTTTCACAGTTCTACCGTCCACTTGGAGAAAGTTAACCTAAAAGAAAATCAAATTGGCATAAATAACGTATCTTCTACGTTTCAAATAAAAAAAGGACCGTCTAGGAGAAACAGAATCATAATAAATGATGATAAGATTCCAAAGCTTAATGTAAGTTTATTATGCTAATTTGATTTAATCTAAAGAATTTTAATATTATCTAATTTCTCTCTCTCATGAGTGTGTAAGGAAAAAAGGCCGGTCCTGTACTTAAAAAATGACATAAATCTGATTTTACAATGAATCGGTAATATTTGGTAGTTGGAAATGTCAAATTTTATCCATTTTTAAATAAGTGACTATGATTTTTTGCATCTATAAGTTGTTGATTATATAGTGAGTTGTTTTATAGCTTTTTTAAATTTTATATGTAAAATTTTAAATTTTTATATATGAATCTTTGTGCGTTACTTTTAGTTTAAAAATGTCCTAGCGTTTTTTTTTATGTTTTTATTAATATATTTGTTATTTCCAAGGATATTAATATATGTGATTTTTTGGTTTTGAGATATGACTCTCATTGGCCTTTTTTTCTCCTTAATATATTTTATATATCAAGAGTCTTTTAATTTTTAATAATTACTTAAATATAAAGCCTGCCTACGAATACAGGTATTAGTTATACAAGTTGGTTATTGGTCAACTTCACCGATTCATTGATGAGACTACCAATTACTGGTTCATTATAGAATCAACATAAGATATAACTCAAAATACATGATTTTTTTTAGTTATTATTATGCATGAGTTAAATAAATATTACCCTGTTAATTTTCTAAAATGAACTAACTTAATTCATAAATGTTACAAAAGTTGTCACAAAGAAGGATAGTTTTTCTAAAGGACTATTTACAAAAATGACAAAAATAATTATATTAAAATAGCAAACAAAATGATATTAAGAATATCTTTCTATCAATATTATTTGGTTAGGCAGTGATTTTCTATCAAGATGAAAAGAAGATTTCTCTTTTGTATGATTTGATGTTTTTCATTTTTATGTTATTTTAAAAATAAGGGAGCAATTGTATAAAACAAATTTCCTATTAGGCATGGACTGTGAAAGCATTAGCCACTGCTGAGGAATATAATTTGGAAACTTTAGCTTATGGTTTATTGGATCAACAATTATATATTCCTAATAAAATCTCTACATCAACTAATCGTAAGTATAATTGAAATTTCTAGATATTTTACATTTTTGTGAAATATAAATGATATAAGCAATTACGGGAGATTTCATGAGATGTTGTAATTACTCAAAATGAATGTGACTTTTCACATCACCGATTTTGTGTTTGTACAGCAGAGAATTTGTGTAGTTAAGGCAAAGAATTATGTTTAGGAACTAATTGATACTGAACATGTGACCACAGTGCATTTCGTGGCTGTAACAGATTTCCTAACCCGAATAATCGTCAAATTTAACTTAAAATATTTCGATTCACGAAGCAGTAGAGCGGGGCTTTTTTCTTTTCAAATCTTTATTTTTACGCATTGATTCTGTTTTTTTAAACCAAAATTTGAGGTGAGTGGACCGTTTTTAACATTTACCACTATATTTTATGAAGAAATACGAATTCTGACTTTTAACTTGAAATACAAAAATAAAATAAAATATTAGTGTAGGTACTTACTTCTCGTACTTAGAAAATAAAAGCTCACAATTTGACTTGGAAAAATGAAGGAAGATAAACAACCAACAATGAAACTGCCTATTCCACTGAATTTACCAAAAGAAGAATTAGAAGAATTAGTAGATAAAGCAAAAGATTGGGCGCTTATGAATGGAATGTGCTTGAGATCGAAAAAAAATTTTGATAGAAATGTCTTGCAATTCGCACCGTTCATGCTTTTTCCATCACCATTTCCACGAGAAGAGTTTTATAACGCCTGTGATATTCAGATCATTTTGAATATACTTATACATAGAGTAGCTCATGATTATGATTTTTTGAAAGATACTTTGCAAGAAACTATAAAAGTGGACGATTTTACTAAAAATTTATTCAGTATCTATGAGATTATTCACAAGGAAGGAATTGCTCAGAAAATATCTCTTGGTATATTACGCTCTGACCTAATGTTAGACACAAGTTGTCCCAAGAAAGATATTAAAATGCTCAAGTCTCATTGCTGCTGGAAGCAAGTTGAGATAAATACAATTGCTTCTGGATTCGGTTGGCTAGGACCTGCATCTACGCAGTTACACAAGTTTGTCTTGCAAGAACTTGGCTATACGGCTGAGCTAAAAAATCTTCCTAAAAATAATGCTCTACAAGCACTTTGTTCGGGTTTCATAGAAGCATGGAACTTATATGGCAATCCACAGTATGTTCGTAATTTCTGCAAAGATTTATTTTTAAAGTTTTATAATTTATCCTTTATTTAATCTTAATATTATCCAATGATTGTTACATTATTTTGTTATCTATATTGTTTGAATATTATTTAGATTTTCTCATAATTGAACCATTTCCTCATATTTAAAAATGATTGTTTGCAGAGCAGTTATTTTGTTTGTTATTGAAGACATTACATATAATATTTGCGATCAGCGTTTCCATGAATACGAAATTCGTAAGCAGAATCCAAATATAAAAGTAATTCGCAGAAATTTAACGCAATTAGCGACTACTGCGAGATTGGGCCCTGATATGGAGCTAGTAGTAAATAGTTACGTTATAGCAGTAGTTTACTACAGGTGCGGTTATGAGCCTAATCAGTATCACACCCAAAAAGAATGGGACGTGAGGTTGCTAATTGAGAAATCATTGGCGATCAAATGCCCAAGCATTCAATATCATTTAGCTGGTACAAAGAAGATTCAACAAACTCTCGCAAAGCCCGGTATGATTGCACGTTTCTTAAAGGATGAAAAGACTGCGGCAAAAGTCAAAGAAGTATTCACTGGTAAGTAATTGTTTTCTTGTACTTTATTAAAATAAGTATGATATATATAACAGAAAGATTGTTACTAATGTTGTTTACTAATATTAATATTAGTACATTGCAACATGTAATATTATTTAGTTATGTGCATATAAAGTTAAATTATATGAACTAAAATTTACGATGATCTTTTGTTTCAGGTTTGTATCCGCTGGATTTTGATGAATTTGGAAATGCCGCTATAGAGATGGGTATTTCCAATCCTCGGAGTTTCGTGTTAAAGCCGCAGAGAGAAGGCGGTTGTAATAACTTATACGGAACAGATATCAAAGATTTTCTAGAATCTGTAAAATCCAAACAGAATCGAGTAGCTTGGATTCTTATGGATCGAATTTATCCACCAGTGCACAGAAATTATGTTGTGAAATATGGAAATGGAAATATGAATTTAGAGACAAAGGAGCTAATCTCAGAGTTAGGCATATTCGGTGTTATTATTGGAGATGAGAAGAATATTATAATAAATAAACAAGCTGGTCATATGTTAAGAACAAAATTATCCACCGATAATGAAGGCGGTGTGGCTACCGGTTTAGGAGCTTGCGATAGCCCGTTTTTAATTGACTGATATGTGAAATTATTTCTATCACGTAAAAACCATATACTACTTGCTATGCAGTTATATTATATCATTCCTTTCGTAAAATAATATTTTTCTTTTGATATGTTTACCCATAAATTCGATATTTTTATAAATCAAGATTTTGTATATGTACATTTGTAAACACACACGCACACAGAGAGACAGACACACACATATATTCATATACAAATATATTGAAATAAAACACATTTGCTTAAATAGCAATTAAAACTTGTGTTTTATTAAAATAAATAAGATCCTTTTTACTGCTTTTAAATTATAGAAATTTAGAATTTAAAATTAAATTTGTTCTGTATTTTGAACTGGTTTTTTTGCAGCTGTACCTGATGTTGTACATGCGGTGGCCAAATATGAAGTCGGGCATGAACCACGAGAGATCTTTTTCTTCCGAGAAGGTAGCATTGTTATGTGGAATATTTCTAATCTCGAATGCGGCAACGTATTACAATTTTTGAGACGTTACGAGCAAAATCGTTACACGGAAGAATTGGTTCAAACCGAAAGCGAGTTAATGAATTACACTTATGCGGATCCCGGGTATCTCTATTTTTTCGTTACTAAATACTTTTATGTTCACGGACTCTATATACAAAATAAACTGTTAAGAATTTGGACAAATGAGTTCTTTAAAAAAATTCTGTAATTTTCGGAATCTAACAGGAAAAAGAGTCATTTGAGGGATGGTGATATTATCCTGGCACAGGAAGCAGGAAATTTGGATAAATATACATTTTCCAATGCTATGGCACAGTCTGTCAAGTTAGGCATATGGGAGGCATCGTTAAATCGCTATGTCGACTCAATTGAATTCGTTACGGAAGATCTAAAAATTGGTAAGAAGATTCAAATGACGCAGCACGAGGTGTTGAGAAAACAGGGCGAATTGTTCGCTCTTAGACACCGTATCAACTTAACGTCGGATCTATTGGATACACCTGATTTCTACTGGGAACGAGACGATTTGGAAAGTTTGTATCAACAAATATGCGGATACTTTAGCATCGCGAAACGTACGAAAGTAAGTATTTGATACACATTTTATTGACTTCTATAATATATGACTGTGTAGCTTTTGTAAAATATTTATTGGTTACGCAGGTGATGAATGAGAGATTAAATCACTGTTTGGAACTGGTGAGCATTTTATCATCGCACTTGAGCGATCGTCATCACGTACGTTTGGAATGGATGATTATCATACTTATTATGGTGGAAGTCGCTTTCGAAGTTTTGCATTACATCGATCGGTATCTTGTGAAATAGTGATCTAATAATAATAAATAATACCGTTTACATTGTATACAAAAACTAGATAATCTAAGTATCTTACATATATATTTCTTAAATATACATTACTGATATATTCTAGTCTAAAACTATCACCTCTTTAAATTTTACAATTCATAGTCTAATCTAATTGCTCGAAAATGTTTTATGGCAACATTAATTTTTCTTAACATGAATATAAATCGGCTCTTCACTTTACAAAAGCAAAATTAAAAGGCAAAAGGAAAACAAAAAGAAGAGAATAATAGATTGTAATATAAATAATAAGAGCAATATCATGGATAAAATTATATATATTTTTGAGACTAATTTACATAACATAATTATTTGATGGCATAAATTCAGCAATCTTTGTCGGAATCACGAATCTGTCGGGATTCTGTTCGAGCAGACAAGCTAGTAGACGCGGAATAGAGAGAACGGTGCCTGATATCATGGTAAGAAATTCCCTGCCAGTGGGTGTTTGATAGGTAATCAGTAATCTTTTGCTCAAATAATCGCCATATTTAGATAGGTGACCGATTTCTATGTACCGGTTCATGAATGGCGACCACATCTCGAAAGATACGCGCATTTCCTCACAAGATTGCAACTCGGACGCGGGTCGCATGACAACGCGATAGTGATCGCACAAATCGTCGTACAATCTGCATATAATCTCCAAAAGTTCTTGGAATAAAATTTTGTATTCCTCGCTCTTTGCATCTTTCGCTACGATGAAGGAGTGTACAACGGAAGCCTGGCACACAGTGAATAAACCACAGGTGTGCAAATCTCGCGGTGATGGTGTATACTGCCTACCTGTGGCGAAGTACTTAAGAGGGAAATTCTTGGGATTTATCAGCTGCTTTGTATGCAATGCCAGAAAAGAGACCAAGCTTGCGCCACCGACCAGATGCATGCGATTCGACGAACCCCTCTCGACCTCGTTATGATTTTCTATTACAAAGGCAGCCATAGGATCCTCATGATTCAAACCAGAGGCTTCTACTAGAAAACTGCGGCTGAAATCTGTACCAACTATCTTTATCATATTGTTTTCGCCAAGAACTCTGCCTGCGTGCGCCAGTACAGCAAGCTCGAACAAAGCAGCGTCGTTGCTTAGGAAATAACACATAGGATTCTTGTATTGTAGCAAGTCTAGACTAGTCCCAATATCGAGATGACTTCTCTTCTTCTCTGATATCTCTGGCAAGTTACCGACACTCTTCAGTATCACCGGTTCGCCAACAGGTGTTCTAGGATCCAATTCGTTTGGTAACTTCAAGACCTTCTCTACTACATCTTCATCCAGATCCCAGATCGCTTCCTTCATCGTCTTTAAATCTTGTCGTATGATCCCAAGCTGTGTACGCAACTTGAGCACCTCTTGTTTCTGCTCGGCAGTATGTTCGGCGTTTTGCAACAGAGTTTTCATACGATCTGTGAGTTTCTTGATATTGTCTTCCAATGCATATTTGTCTGCAACCATCTTTACATAGAAATCCCACGCTTCCTTTAATAGAATTACGTTTACATCCATCCCGCGCACTGCGAGATTTTTCTGTAGTTTGTCTATATTGGCAAATCTGTCATCGACGTCCAAATATGGCGACAGATATGCAAATGCTTTGTAAGCCTTATTACCGGAAATGTATAGTGCTGAACTGTAAGTTCTCTCAAAGTTTATTGAAATAAAAGTCCTTCGACGATCACATATCAAAGTTCTGTACATACGCTTTAAAACATATGTTAATCTACACAATTTATTAGTCATTGTATTATAATTTCAATTTTTTCTTATGTCACAGTAAAGATACAATGATTCAAAATGAATTATGAAGTAACTCTATTAATTTATTTTCATAACTTTAGCATCTGACGTAGTATTTATTATGTCCAGGTCTTCCCGTGTCATGGTCTCAATCTTTCGTTTTTGTGGTACGATGTAACTTCCTTTACCTGCTGCTTTTTCTGACTCTTCGATAGTATAGGGCTCTAATTCAAGCGCTTTCATTCGTCGTTTATGCACTTTAGTATTGAAGTGAGTATGTAGAGCAGTTTTGTCTATAAAATATCTCCTAAAATCAAATTAAGTTCTTAGTTTTAATAATTTTAATAAATATTGCTCTATGTGTTATGTAAAAATTTATTATTGTTTTGACATAGAAAATGATACTCCACAGAAATGCAACATTAATATACATGTGATTAAATATATCAGGTAAATCAAGGAAAAATCAAGAATATTTTGCTACGTGCTCCGTCTATTGTTATGTCTATGATATATAATTGAAATACAAAATAGACTAATTTCTAGTCTTGCAACCATCCAAGCTGGTAACTTCATTTATTCATATGCACAGAAAACTTTTAATCCACATATGTAATGCACGAGTAGAATTAAACACGGAACCATAGATTTTGAATCAACCGTGCAAAGCGTGTACTCGATGCTTCATACATTTCAATATGATTTTTTAGGTTAGATCATTATATTGCGTAAGACTTACGCGCAATGCACGCAGTAATACTGCGCTGCTCCCGGCTTATCGAAATTCACTTCCTGGTTTAACAGCTTCCTCGCGTTCTCCTCTTTCAGATCTTCATCAATCTAGAAATAATAATCACATATTATTCGTCGAGGCGATGATCACAAAACGTGCGTAATAGATTGGTCGTCCACGTGTCGAGATTGTGTTCAGAAAAAATTGATGCTGTTCACCTCGTCCAAGTCCTTCGTTCTCCGTTTCGTTTGCCAATTCTTTTTCAAATGCATGTCACCTCTGTGAGTCTTTTTACGTTTGTATGGCATCGTTACATTTACAAATTATCCCGTCGAATTCTTCTTCTTTAATTTATGGCCATTTATGGCTCACGGCTATCGTTGAAGGCAATTGACTTTCGTAATCGAGCGCGTCGGCATCATATAAAAACGATAGTGTTTATACGATTGAATTTTCGACAGAGACAGATTTCGCAAATTGATTCTTGAAAATTTTTATTAATAAAATTATGTACACCTCAACTGCACCATAGTACACATCGAGTGAGATATTAGAACAAATTATTTTTTTCTCTTTTTACAAAAAAAATAGCTCTGTACGAGCCTTCAGGAGCCTTTCCTAATTACGAATATCATAATTAAAACGCGATCCATCCAGTATTTTAGCCGTAATTTGGGAATAAAAAATTCATCTTCAACTAGAGGTCTCCACGGGTCTCTCCTGTCGACCCAGAAAAGTTTGCACGTAGCAAGGACAATTACTAAGCTTGTCAATTGAGAACAACTTTTTTTATTAAATATATTCCTTCATAAATTATATAACGCGCGTAATTGTAACTATCGTTAAAAATTTACTTTTATTATCGTCGATGTATCAGAATCGATTGAAAAAGGTACAATTTCATGCAGCGTCAATTCGTGCGAAAATCTTTAGCGAGCGAAGCTTTGCTTGACTGCTTGACGTGTCTCTTAACTTCGAATAATAATATTTTTGAAGCGGATTTCGACTGTGCTCGCGACTGTGTCTTGCAAAGAAAAATACTTTTACGAAGTTAATGATTGCTGATAAAAATCGTTAACTACATTTGGAGCTCTGTAGAAAGCTGTTTTAATCGTTTTAACGGAATAAAAAATAATAATATATTGTCAAAATGGATCTTTTATAAATTTAAAAATGCAAATTAAAAATGTGAGAAACATTTTTTTTGAAAAAATTAGTTAAAAATTTGTTACAAAATCAGTTGATATAGTTTTAATATTTTTACATACTTTTTTTACATTAATGTATTTGTTTTTATACAACTTTGTACTTTTGTTTACAAGTTTTTCAATTTTATGATTATTTTCATCAATCGATCGATACTTACTGGAATTTTAAGCTAATTATGATGTTTCGTTTTATTTTACATACATTGCTTCCGTCAGCGTTTAACATATTTATTAGAAATTATTAAGTAACTATAATAATAAACTATAATAAAACATTTTTTAATAGTATACACTGGCAATTTTTATAAATCTGTGAATAAAGTCTGTGACTAATAACAATCATTAATAAACGCTAAGCTATAATTAATTACGCTTTTAATGTAATATTAGAAATTGTGATTAAAGTTTACGACTACAAATATCAGTTTTGGTACTTTATTCTATTGCAAAACTTGAGCAATAATGACAAATATAATAATGCATTCTATGCGGTTCCCAAATTTTTACAATGCATGACGTATGCAATATTGATCGAGACCATCGAGACTGTGCTTTTGCATACATATAGGTTTATTATCCGATATGCAATTAATTGTTTCATCTAAAATGCGATATACATTAAAAAATGTATATAAAAAAATTTTCTAATAGATTCTATATTTTCTAAAAGTAGCGGGACATCGCTGGCGAAGCTTCGTCGCTGCATGTAAAGGATACGGGGTTTCAGCGAAGAGCAAAGAACGCTAGGCGGAGTGGGGGGTCTTCGCCAGCGAAGCTTCGCTGCATGAAATGGTACCTTTTATATCCGTTAAACTGTGGCGTCGAGTGGCTCACCGCTCTGTGCGATTGACTCGCGATTTGTAGACCCGAGTTCAATCCCACGTGCGCGCCCAAACGCGATTTTTCGCGTTTAATGAGCCAAAAAATGGCTCCACTTGGTGGTTATTCCTCCTAGTTTCCGACTGTTTTCGAATTGCAGCTATTTCTCTTGTTAAAGTCTGGAATTCATTAGTCAAAGAGTTATTTACAATTTCTAGTTTTCCTGCATTAGCTTTCCTGCATACAGTTTCACTAGTTTTTAAAGTATCTACCAATTCTTGGAGCATATTGCATTTTGACTCCATGTGTTTATTCTTTTTTTGTACAACTGACAATTTATCACTTGTTTGTGCCAAACGTCTTCGTAGATCCCATTTTTTTATCTTGTCTACTTTATTATCTATGTCATTTCGGACACTTTTATTTACCTTGTTCACTGAATTATTAGTCATCAATGGATTATTAATTGGCTTGTTTAATAATGTTTTAGTAACAGGTTTAATAAAAGGTTTCTTTGCTTCTCCATGTGTTACATTAGCCGTTCGTTTTACTATATGTTCTAAGTTTTCAACGCTGGATTTGAATTGTGGGGATAAACGCCAACTTTTCAACGCTCGCATGAAAAAGCAGCTTCATGCTTCATGTGTGTGTGTGTGTGTGTGTGTGTGTGCGCGCGCGAGGCTCACTGAGGAAAGTTGACTCTGCTGGGTGCTGGCTGAGCCCTGAGGTTCGCCGCTCGATACCACTGATCATGGCGCGCGATTTGTCACGATCAGGTTAGAGGACAACAGCGATAATTATGATCAACAATAGTGACGACGGCGTGATAATGATAATGGCATGTGTTATTACAAACCACGCGTAGTCCAGACAGGAATCCAGGACTGCAGCACGCGAGCACGAGGACGATCGAGAAAGCATTATTTCACTCTGGAGAGTGGAAACGTCAATATTTTGTCAATCCTGGTGAAGGAGTACGGTGGTCCGCCATCCTCGAGAAAAACAAAAAATGCCATTAGTCATAAGGAATTGTCCGCATCTGGTCAACTGCGGCGATCTCGCCTTCATCGAGGCAGTGATGGCTCGGGAAGAGCGTTTTGCAAAATGTAGTGACTGCGACACTCCAGGGCCCAATCTTTGGCTCTGTCTGTTCCCCGACTGCCGTTGGATCGGTTGCGCGGAAACGCACCTCGACCACAGCACCATTCACAATCAGAACTTCCCGACTCACTGCGTTCACATGAATCTGTCGACCAACAGGATCTGGTGCTATGCTTGCAAGAGCGAGGCAATCGCCAAGCATGTTCCATCACCTCCTTTATCACCGACACAAGTAGAGTTTAAAACTATGGGTAACAAATTCGCCGGGGACACTTCTGGTAGCATCGAGTCTAAGTTTGATGGCTTAGACAGGTTGATGTTTGACAAGTAAGCAAATGCTATTAAGTAATTACTTTTTAATTGTAATAGAAGTAATAAACTTCCTATGAACTCTTTAAATGAAAAGTACAATTGATCGGGCAATGGAGAGCGTAAACATGGTAATTAAAGCATAAATAATCTTACTAATGTGGTATTTAATATAAATAAATTCTTCCGATACATGAGAGTCGTACGTTTCATAATCGAGTTGTACAATTTTCATAGTCTAATGAATTATATCACTTTGGCCAGATCTATCAATCTGCAGTGGTTAAACATATTTGTGGAAAAGAATGTTCCTGCAATAAGTTTGAAAATATTTATTTCACTGAAGAAGATTCTAAGTCCAGTTGAAATATGACTCTTATGTATTGGAAGAATTTACATTAAATACCACATTAGAGTAAGATTACTTATGCTTTATAATTACTACATTCATATTCTCATTTATCTGATCATTTGTATTTTTAATAATTTTTACATTTGTGTTATTTATATCTAGATAACATTTCATACAAAAACATGCTATTGAAAACCATTTGTTAACAATTGTTACCACAATAATGTTGCTATTATAATGACAGAGACATTAAATTATACTTTTTCTTGCGTGCATCGCTAAACATCATATTTGCACTTCTGATAATGAGCAACATTTATAATTTTATACTGAAATATTGCTATGATATATTACATATCATATGTTATAGCATAATATATACATATTATATGTTATATATTCTTTATTACAATTGTTGCTGTAAAGTTACTATAAAGTTGCAGTACTCATTTATATATACGTTTTCTTTTGCTTGCAATATTGCATCAAACGAGGAATCACCTTGTTGACTCAATTTGATTGTAATATATTTCAGCAAGTTGTTAAAAAAATGTTAAAAAATGTTATTTATTGTAAATAAAAAGTCTGTTTTCTGTAGTTGAATTAGTACATATATACTTTAAAACTTAAAGTGAAATAAGTTTGATTGTTTGCACAAATAAGGAAAAAAATTCTAGTGCAGTCTAACGTAGAAAAAAGGAAGAAAAAAAATAGATCAAAGATTTTTATTCTCTTGAAAAGTGATACAGTAAAAAAAAAAGTGATAAAAAAGATTAAGTTTCTCTCCTAGAAAAGGAGAAAAACCATTTTTTAATTTAATAGAAAATTGAATTGTGACATTATTTGACTAATCAAATAATATCGATAAAGAATATGTTCTTAATAAGGTTAAATATTATTTCTGTCCTTTTTGCGTTTCACAACTTTTAAAATAATAAATTTTTTAGTCGTGACAATTTTGTTATGAAGAGTTTAGTTGATTGGTAAAAGATAATGTTTACTTAACTCATTCATTAGAATAATTCGAAAATTACGTTTTCTTAAATGTTATTACTTTTGAAGTAAAGGAGCAAAATGCAAAGTTACAACTTTTTTTTTTAGCATTGGAGGTCTTTATAAGGCAAAAGTAATTATTTTTGCATTAGAAGTCTTATGTTCATATGTAAGACTTTTATCATTAGAAGTTTTTATATGAAATGTGCGAGCAATTATTTTAATAGCCTTATAAAGAAATTTTATAAAGACTTTTAGTGTTGAAATACCTTATTATATACTTGCACATATTTTTATTCTGAAACAAGCTGTATTATTGAATATATTGAATGTAAGTCAATATTTAATGTGTGCAAAGTTGATGTGGCTATATATACATTGGCCATATCGTTTGTAAGCGTCTTTAGAATGATTTTAATTGATTTGATTTTCAATTGATCACTTTTATTGATAGGAAGATTTGTTATGGATAAAAACAATATATTTTGCATGAGTTAAATTAAGTTTACAATAACAATTCTTTAGGAAAAAACATTTAATATATTTTTTGTTAACAGGTTTTATGGAGATTGGTCAATAAATAGAATCAATTCAGAGAAAGGAAGTTCATTTAACGAACGATCCGGGGATTCTCCCGATAGTACAGACTCAGAAGAAAGCAAGGACTTTTCTGGGAAGCCAAGAGGTCTAGTGGGTTTACAGAATATTGGCAACACGTGTTACATGAATGCGGCACTACAAGCCTTATCTAATGTGTCTCCTTTAACCCAATTCTTCTTGGATTGCGGCCATATGGTCAGTTACATGTCGAAAGACAGGAAACCCGGACTTAGTTTAAACTATCTGAATCTTATTCGAGATATGTGGAATAAGAAAACCAGAGGATATGTCGTGCCGCATGGTATCCTTTCAGGCATTAGGACGGTACATCCAATGTTTAGAGGATACCATCAACATGACACACAGGAATTTCTCAGATGTTTCATGGATCAGCTACACGAAGAATTGAAGGAGCATATTGAGGATGACAGGGACGTACAGCTGCGGTTGAAAGGATTGGGAGATCAGTCTTCGGAGGATGAGGATGAAACTGAAATCGACGGTAACGCATCCAGTCAGTCCGACGCCGAATATGAAACTTGTGATTCAGGTGTGAGCGAACAAAGCTCTCTGAGCGATGAAGGTGAACGCGGCACAAAGAGACGTTATTCTCGCGTGTCGCAGACGGAGAAGTTACGAAACAAATTCACCAGTAGAAACATGAAAAAATCAAACGTTGAACCGATGTTGCCGTTTGTTCCGCCACAACGGTCTCCACAAAACTCTCCGGCCAAGCATCGCACCAAGAAACAAATGAAAACGCGTAGCATCATCAGCGATACTTTCGATGGCAAACTCCTGAGTAGCGTGCAGTGCTTAACATGCGATCGAATTTCTACTCGGGTAGAGACATTCCAGGATTTGTCCTTGCCAATCCCGAGTAGAGATCACATCGACATGTTGCATCAGGGATCGCTGACGCCACAAAAGGCTGGCCCATGCTCGGACGTAGTTTACGTAACTAATCAGTCAGGTTGGCTGTCATGGTTTTTGCAATGGATGCGTTCGTGGTTCTGGGGACCAGTGGTCAGTTTACATGACTGCCTCTCAGCATTTTTTAGTGCCGACGAACTTAAAGGCGACAACATGTACAGTTGTGAGAAATGCAATAAGCTGCGCAATGGTATCAAGTTCTCCAAAGTCTTGGAATTGCCTGAGATATTGTGCGTTCATTTGAAGAGGTTTCGCCATGAACTAATGTTCAGCTCAAAGATTGCCAACTATGTTTCATTCCCTCTCGAAGGTCTCGATATGAGACCTTACTTGCACAAAGAATGCGTGTCCAAGATTACTACTTACAATCTGATATCGGTCATTTGTCATCACGGTACAGCTGGCGGTGGCCATTACACCTGTTATGCACTGAATCCCATCGCCAACAAGTGGTACGAGTTCGATGACCAGTGTGTCACGGAGGTATCACCGGAAACGGTAAAACATTGCGAGGCATATGTACTGTTCTACAAAAAATGGTCGCCAGAGATATTACAGTTGCGCGATAAAACCATGGAGTTGATGGAGATATCATCCCGCGAGGTATCCGATTTAAATTTTTTCGTGTCTCGACAGTGGATCAACCGCTTTAATACATTTTGTGAGCCTGGTCCGATTGATAACTCTGACTTTCTGTGTCCGCATGGGGGAGTAATACCTGTTAGAGCACAATTTGTCGACAAGATTAGTATGCCCATACCGCAAGCAGTTTGGGAATACTTGTATAATGCGTAAGCCTCTGACTGTGATAATACCATCACAGTAGAACTCCGTTTATTGCATTTTACTTAAACTAGCGATATACGATATTCTTTTTTCTATTATATTGGTAGTTAGATTTACTATATTAGCTGCGGTACTAGTAGTGTCAATATGATAGCAAGTATATGCAATAATCTGGCTAACAATTCAGAAAAAAAGTATCGCGTGCCATCGGTTTAAATAAAATGCAAAATAAATCAATTTGTTCTCAGTTTTAAATATACGGATTTATAATTGAGCTTCTATTGTCTGAACCATTCGAATAATAACAAGCTGGACTTTAGTTTTCTGTTTGTCAGCTTCTATTATCGAAACTATTAAAAGTACTGATAGAGAGGAAAGCTAATGAGATTCCATTATCTGAATTATTCAGTTATCGAATTGTCTTGTATCCCAACAAACGGAGTTTTACTGTACTTTTTATGTTTTGTGTATACACACACATATATATATATATAATAATATATATATATATATATATATTTATTTTAATATTAATTATAAGATTTAAAACGCGCGCGCATCTCATTTATGTGATACACCATGCAACACTGGTCTGCTGGATATATAGATAGATAGAGAGAGATGATAGAAAATATAGAGTGAGATAACACATGAAGTCAAAGGCCCTCTATTATCGAAAAAACGAGATGGACATTTTCTCTGGTCGACGATGACATACGAATGTCCGACCTGCGAAGAAAAGTACGAATCCTTGCAAAAACGTAGACAGTACGAAATGGAACTATTCCAACGGTTAAACACCGATAATCCTACAGCCATTTATGCGTTGGCTATGGCATGGTTGAGACAGTGGCAGAGCTTCGTCCGAGGCAAAGAAACTCAGCCACCAGGACCAATCGATAATAATTCCATCGTTGTAAATAAAAATGGACAAAATAGTCTTAAAGTTGGTAAGTCTTCTTTTATTTCGATAAATAAACAAGTCTTTTATTTTTGAGAATTTGTTATCAAATTATCGTGTTATTAGGAAAAAATGTTTTTTTTTTTTCTTCATAATAAACACAAATTCATTTTTTTTTTATAGGCTCGGATTATGGCCAGATCCCTGAAGAATTGTGGCAATTTTTTTTGACTACGTATGGCGGTGGACCAGAGCTAATGCTGCATTCATGTCAACGACCGGTGCCCGCTCAGCCTAACGTTTCTGTACATTCCGCGTCAAATCCAAATTTGATAGATCCGAATCTTAAATGCAATCGCGTAGAGGCTAAGTCTAACAAACTTTGTATGACTAGAAGCTCGGAAACGATTTCACAACAGGATAGCGCGATCGAGAGCCTAATTTCAAGCAGCGACTCCCATCAGACGCAAAGGGATGTTTGCGAGTGAGTAGGCTGTATGAATTGCGATTTCGTAGTCTTGTTCATCACACGACGAATATTTCCATTGGTTTTTTTAGTTTGGTCTTTAAGTGTTTAAGCAATCAGATTTTAATCTACTTTTTTCTAAATTCCATGCTTTTGAAATTTCACGCTCGGCTCAAACAATCCTTATCAAATTTTTACTTAGATGAGATGATCTCGATATCATGGAAATAAAACAATCATTGTCATTTTTTATGATTTGAAGCTGAAAAGGCAATTGGATACTTTTGTATCAGTAGCGATTTTTATACGAAATATGTAAAGCTGAATTACGTGCATCATATAATGAACCTAAAAGTATTTTCAAGTTACAAAGAAAAACTATATGGATACGTGATCAGATGACTGCATTTATCGTAATATATACTGTAATATCTTGATGGTAATTTGTATTTTGTCATAATATATAGCAGCATATTAATCTTGCTTAAACGAAGAAAAATGAAAAATTTATCGCTATAAAGAACATTTAACTCTTAAGTCTGTGGCATACAATGTTTATGTTTTCCTGCAGGATTGTTTACGTTTTAACAAATAACTAAAATTACGCAGAATACAGAATTTGTAGTAATTTATTAATATACAAGCAGCACAATCCAGTAAAAAAACATACGTCGGAGCACAGACTTTAGTTTACTGTGAAAAAGAACCGAGAAATGTCATAAGCTTCTTTCTAAATCATCGGTTTGAAAAATTGAATGACACTGATTGCTTTAAGTCCATTGCTCTAACGCTGTGAAATCGCGATTGTACTCGTTCATCGACATAGAATTTCATCAATTTGGGAATATTATATACATATGTAATAATATGACGGAAACCTAGTTATAGTACAAAAAGGATATAGGCGACTATATTATTTAAATACAAATCTTTAGTTCATATTTTTGCCCAAAGTCTAGGCCGTAACATTTGCGTAACCTCGATATAGTTGTGTTATCATATTTTTTATATTGAACATTCGCCGGCGTGTGCGTGTCATTCCTGCACATAGATGGTGGCTTTCATTTTCGAAGTTATGTATAATGCCGTCATTTCTTCTCCATTGGCGGGATAGTTTTCATCCAAAAAGAAAAATAAAAGATACACGGAAGACTGACAAATCGATTTTATTTAGAAAGAAAAAACATTCAGTTATAATTGTATCGATTTATAAGCAACAACTCACGAAATTGTACGCAGTGACGCAAAAAGCTTTAATCATCTTTGTGTTTTGTTCTTCAATAGATGGAATTATTGTTATTGTTTTTTAGTGAATTTATTGTAAACATATTTTTCATAAGATTCACAGAACCGGTAACGGTCTCTCAGCGTATAATTCACTGATTTCTTTCGCCTTTTTCTTAAACAGTTGAAATTCGTAATTATTTATTTAAGTAACAAAACGTGCTTCTTAAGGCTCCTGTTTCCTACAGCCACGTTAAATTGTGAATGATTCCATTTTTTGCACTATGCGTCAAGATAAATTAGTTTTTCGTGTGCCATCACGTTAGGTGCAACAGAAATCTCTTTTATCTTTATATTTTTATCTTCTCGCAAATTTTTGATAATTTTTCACATAATGTTCAAGTATTTATCAAGCACGACTATCGACTGTATTATGTACAAAAATGAGGGGGAAGATTGCCATTGTTTATATTTAAGAATTTATTTAGATTATTAAATATTAATGTTCGCACATAATGTATATGTTAAAGTACAACATATATTTTCTACATACCTTTGTGATAAATATCACTTTCAGTTTTATATATCACAATAATCGTTTCTTGCAATAAAATGCCTAAATAAATAATTTTATAAGTTTTTATAGCTTAGCTACATCAAGATTATACAAAACATAATCTAGAAGCAGAAGTTTAACGAAAACATTGAGCTATGTAAGTATATATAGTGATTATAAATACTTGAACATTTTATATTAAAATAGCATACTTCCCTCTCTTTCAAATTTCTCTCTAGTATTTAAGAAGCGTATTCTATTGCTAAGCCATTATAATTGCATAGTTTAATTATCTTATCGTAAACAAATGAAGAGTCGCGTGTCACGAGCTATCCGTGTAAGCTCAATTATGTTTTCATAACTTTCGTCTTATTACCGAGGACGTTTATCTTTATAGCGATTGATCGCTTTAATAACACAATTTCATATTGCGAGGAAGTAAAACGAAAGCGCAGTGCAATTTTATTTTGCATTGCGATTTCGTTCACAGAGACGCAAACAATTAAAAAAAATTGTTAAAGCTAATATTGTCTGTAATCATTATTCAGAGCAAAGTGCATAAGGTGAATAATAAATAAGTTGGTTCCTTTATTTATTGAAACATCTAGATTCTACGTTATTTCTAAGCGTAATGTGCGTTTCTTTATAGCTTAAAGGAGAAGTATAATTTATATTTTATCGTTTTTGATAGAAAAGACCATTTTTTTCAGAAAATGGTTTTACCACTGGAATAGATTAACTTAGAAAAAGCGTGAAATTTTGCTAATTGTATAAAGTATATAAAAATTTTCACAAGTCGAAAATTCACAATTAGAAAAAATTCGATTGATTCACAATATATATATTTATTAGTGCAATTTATACTAATTTTAAACTTTAAATCACAACATTACAAAAGATCTGCCAGATTGCTGCACGATAACTGCAATTCCATTCCGTAAATGTAATTAAAAGCATCAAATTCTTAATCTGTCTAATCTACTTCTATTTAATAAAACAAGATTGTGTGATTAATATAAATAAAGTAATCTCTAAGCGTTTTTTGAAGACGCAACTATATGTATCTCTTTTCGGTGTTAGCTTAAAATCCCAGTATTATCTTGTCATCAAACTCTCTGAGTAAAACATATGCAATCTTTTTTGTACAAATAAAATGGAGAAGGCCTTATTCGATCAAAGTAGATGTTAAGGCTTAACAATATATTTTTACATAAATTTTACAATTTCCAGTTCAAGTAAAGTAATGTAGTGTGCGCCGATTATTTATTGGTCTTGAAATCTACAATCTTAAATTAAAGTTGGTTTACTTATATTACAAATTGAATTAGCAAATAATTGAATGATGCCGATGCTAATGAGCATTTTAAAAAACATTGTAGAGAATTTATTACGAAAAATATAATCTCAGCCAAGATTTGAATTTGGCTGGCTTTCCTACATTCCGTGATGAATGTGCCTTATCAGTTCAATCAATATGGTAATTTATTTTTTCTGTTTTTTTTATGTTAAAAAAGGAAAACATATGCATGCGATCTCGATTAGTTTCGCGTGATCTGCATTTGTGTAAGCTTAAGGAACGCGGGTCTTTTCCCACCCTCGTTTCAGGAGTGCGCGGATGTTACGTTCTATGGGAGGCACGCGCGGAATGATACGTCTCTCTCTCTTTCGTGGAGCATTGATCGAATCCTGCGCATTCGGGGGTGGCTGGCCATATTACCCCCACGATCTTTCTGATCCCTTAAACACCGTGTTCCCGCTGCTAGTCGATGCCGCGGTCGACGTGTTCGTCGCGATTTTCACCTGACAAGCCGCGGTGTAGATCGTAGATAAGAAACTATCTCATCGTCATCATGCGGCTTCGCAATTTGGGTAGTTAAGTCTAATTTCGCGCTCTCATTCCAATTCTTCTCCGCTCTTTCTTTTTTTCTTTTCTTCACTTCTTCATGAAGCTTCGCTTGCGTCCAGGTCGCGGCCGTTTTTAGTTTAGTTCATTTCTCCGCTACGTGAGATTTCCGATAATTAGGAATTTCCCAAAAGGAACGTCCGAAACAGACTCACCGTTTGGTAAGTACAAGTGTCTCATTGCACATACAAACTAATCCAAGACGTTAAAGGACTCCGAGACGTTCGGTACATTGTTCTGTGTAAGAACGAGAAAGAGAGAAGCCTGCTCGATATGCCCACAGACGTTACTTCAGTACACGTTGCTACTCTACTTCGTTTCCATATTATATAGAATTACCAATTTACATGTTTTTCTCATCTCACTTGCATATTCTCTATATTTGTATAAACACTTGCAAGACGCGAACGATTTAAATTTAAACAGCCTATGTGACACGTACTCCATTTTAGCTCGCTAGGAAATGTTCTATTCTTCACTTTCTTCATATAGTCACACTACATCTAGCCTATGTTTATAAGAAATTAAACATATCGCCGTAGAGGCAACAGATAGAAATGGCGAATTTCCGTGGATTTTATATACCTTCCTTTGGTGCAACGGTCAACGTCGCCTGGGAGACTTTAAAGGCCGTATGGCCAGAGAACAGTCCGTGCATGGAGCTGATTCGCAGCGGTGGCGCCGGTGGCATGAGCCAGGGCCATCCTCAAACCCGATCCGGTCAGGGCCAGTTCAAATCCTTCGACGAAGGTCATGATAATACCGAGATGATGACCATGAACGGGGATCAGGCATATCGAGATCAGAACAACGTGGGGATCGCTGAGGACTCGTTCAGTTATCAGAGAAACGGGTAAGGATATATCGCCATGCGTTGATTTCACTTTCTGCTCGAGTTTCATACGTCACTCTAATTGTAGGGACAAAGTTAGAACTGGAAGCATGAGTAGCGGAGAATTTAGCGAATATGACGAGGGTGGCGGAGAATTCGGAGTGGGTGTTAAGATCAACGAATGGCAAGCTGCTTGGAATGTTACAAATGCTATTCAGGTATTGCAGAATCGAAGAAAGAGTTTCTGGTAGCTCTCTCTCACTCAAAGAAAAACGTAATGGTAGCAACTATACACGTAAAAGTGACAATTATACAAGCCAAGCTTTATTTGAAAAATTAATATATTTTTAGAAGGGGGAAACGAACATCAGATTACAAAGCTTATTAAACCGTTTTGTAATTATTACAATTATAAAATAATGTATATTCATCAGTTTATTCGACTAATAAGGGGAACATCAAACTAAAAATGTATAAAATCTGAAAAATTTAAGGTGTTTTTTTTTTTTTTTTTAAGTCTTAATAAATTTAAAATATAACAAACTTTTAAATATTATATATTATGATATAACATAAGAAAATTTTTGACCAGGGATTTAAATATAAAAATTGTCGTAAAAGGAAACTATTACATATGATTGTAATTGTATTTTTCTGTAAGTTTTCTTGCAAATTTCTCAGGGAATGTTCATCGTTTCTTTACCGTTCGCCGTCTTACGTGGCGGTTATTGGGCGATCGCCGCAATGATTGGCATCGCGCACATCTGCTGCTACACCGGCAAGATTCTAGTCGAATGCCTCTACGAGCTAGACACGGTGACGGGTCAACGTGTGCGCGTACGAGATTCGTACGTAGCCATCGCCAAGGAGTGCTTCGGGCCGACGTGGGGCGCCCGTGCTGTCAATATTGCGCAGATCATTGAGCTGCTGATGACCTGCATTCTATACGTGGTCGTGTGCGGCGATCTGATGATTGGTACTTTCCCCGAGGGCGCTATCGACACACGCAGCTGGATGATGCTAATCGGCATATTCCTGCTGCCGCTTGGCTTTCTCAAATCCCTGCAGCACGTCTCCGTGTTGAGTTTCTGGTGCACAATGTCTCACCTCTTCATCAACGCGATCATCATCGGTTACTGTATCCTGGAGATTGGTGACTGGGGCTGGTCGAAGGTGAAGTGGACGATTGACATGGAGAATTTCCCAATCTCCCTTGGTGTGATCGTCTTCAGCTATACATCGCAGATCTTTTTGCCGACCCTCGAAGGCAATCTCATCGATCGCTCCAAGTTCGACTGGATGCTGAACTGGAGCCATATCGCCGCGGCAGCGTTCAAATCACTCTTCGGCTGGATCTGCTTCCTGACGTTCCAGAACGATACACAGCAGGTGATTACGAACAACCTGCACTCAGCCGGCTTCAAGGGCCTGGTGAACTTGTGTCTTGTCGTCAAAGCGGTGCTTTCGTACCCGTTGCCATATTACGCAGCCTGCGAGCTCCTCGAGCGCGCCTTCTTCCGCGGTCGACCGAAAACAATCTTCCCAACCATCTGGACAGTGGATCGGGAGCTCAAAGTCTGGGGTTTGGCTTGGAAGATCGGCGTAATCGTGTTCACCATTCTAATGGCGATCTTCATACCGCACTTCAGCATATTGATGGGCTTCATTGGTTCTTTTACCGGGACCATGCTTTCATTTATCTGGCCCTGCTATTTCCATCTGAAGTTGAAGAGGAACTCAATGGAGTGGAGCGCCGTTGCTTACGATTGCTTTGTCATTTTTCTCGGTGTTCTCTTTGGCGTAATCGGCGTCTACGATTCTGGCTCTGCGCTGATCAACGCCTTCGAGATTGGCCTACCCTTTTGAGCAATCTCGCGCCAATTAGATCGTTCGTTGTTCTTATTCTGTAGCAAAATGATATTATACGGAAACGCTCTCAGGCCATATTTGTTTCTCGATTTTAACACGTTGCTCGGTATACATGCAATAATTGTTGATACATGCAGCTAGGAGACTGGAGAAAATATAAAATAGAAGCGATAATTGATAGGAGAGCTTTGCATTTTCAAAAAATTAGAAATTTTTCTGAATAACATTCAGATCAATAATCAACAAATCGGTTTTTTTTTTTTTACAAAATGCTAATACCAAATTAAGAAAATACATATATTATTGCGAAATTTTTAAATATATGAATGCAATTTTATTAAAATTCCTTACATAATTAAATTAAATGTCTCTATTTGAAATATATCTGAGAATCGAGAATCAAATATTTTCTGTGCTTAATAGCGTTTTCCACTGGGAAAACTGGTGCAGCACTAGCGCCGTGCTACCCAATCAGCATACCATATTTAAAAAATATTTTTTAAATATGGTATGCTGATTGGGTAGCACGGCGCTAGTGCTGCACCAGTTTTCCCAGTGGAAAACGCTATAAGAGCAATTAATTCGTATGAAAACTTTGCGTTTTTAGATAAATTAATTTTTTGATATATATCATTTTAATATTCATGATTTTTACGGAATAAAACGCGTTGTGCGCAGTTATATTTCTTTAAAATAATGTTTATCTCATAAAATCATTAAATAATGCAAGAGCATCATCTTCTATTCGTGTAAAAATTACGCTTTAATAATCTTGAAACGAGTCTTCCAATTAATGTCTTCCAGAACAATAATATTGATAGAAGTCTATGCAAGATTTATGCTTGTATTCGTAATGGCATGTTTAGTTTTGTACATCAAATTTATATTTAAATCATGATTTCAAGAGCAATGTACAATTAATACATCATGCAATTTTCCCAATCATGACAGTGAGTGATGTTTAGAATAGAAACGTGAAAATCAAAAGAGACGAGAACATAACTGCGTTTTCTAAAATTACTAACTGTAGTATTTTTTCCAGAAGAAACAATATTGGCTCGCTAAAGAGCATTTAAATTCCGTTGTAAATTTCACACATTGACCAGGATTGCGAAAAAATTGCGATGTTTCTATAACATAAAAGATTAATTCCCCGATTTACCTTGCATTCGGAAGCCTTTTAGATAAAATGAGAGATTCAAGCGTGCATTGAATGTAACTATAAAGATGACAATGTCTTCCATTATGCTGCAGTAAACAAAGCGCAGCCTAACTAGTAGTTGGTTACTGTTACAATTTTCTGGATTTTATAATTATATCGCTGCGAAGTTGTATACTAGGGCGATCAGATGAAACGTATAGCAGACGAAAAATTCAGAATGAAACTATCTAAGATGTTAATTATCATGGTTAACAAAGCATTTTTTTTAATTGTCAAATCAAATGACGGATACCCTGTTTATAAAATTTTTTGAATTAAGATTGAACTCACTCGAAAACAGCCTCCTGCACTTCTGCGTCCGACAGAAATTTCCTGCCTTTCAAATTTTTCTTCAGTACTCCGATTTTGTAACTCTATACAATAGTTCGTTACGTTATCATTACACAGCATTTTTATCATGTATAATATCTACGCAACGACAATATATGTAATAATAACGAATTGTTAAAAGTTACAGATCAAGGTACAGGTTTTTTTAAAAGTGTAAAAATTGCATAGCGACAGTTCCGATAAGAAATACTAGAGCAACTGGTCTGCAGCTAAGACTTGTCGTAATGCGATTTCTACTTTTGTGGAAATCTGAAGAAGAATATGAAAAATAGGAAATTTTTGTCGGATGCAACAGTGCAGGAGGTTATTTGTGAAAGGATACGATTCCAACCTAAAGAATTTTATCAATAAAATATCTGTTGTCTAGTTTTACAATGGAACAAGCCAAGTCTTGCCAACTATAGTAATTATTAACATGTTAGTTGACTTCAATGTCTGAATTTTTTATCCGTTATATTTTATTTTACTGCCCTAATATATATATATATATATATATACACACACACACAACATATATATACACACACACACATACCCATGTATAATTTTTATGCGATGAGTTGAATTGTATATCGCGACGCACGGCGACCACGTCAAGCTATGTTAGCGATATGCGTTAGTCGATATAATAATTCAGCCAAATAACTTTGGAATGGTTTACCATGCCGTCTTATCGCCGTACAAACAAGATGCAAAGCAATGCGTGAACAGTTATGTACAATTGAGTACAATTAGTTGTATAATCCAATGTCTTCCAAGATCGTATAGATCATTAGTTTAAGGAATATAGATAATGTAGTCGTTCCATGAAACTGCAGAATGCTGCGATAATTCGAAAAACGTTTTTATGGGATATATTTCGTAAAATTTATGTCATACAATTATTACGATTAGCATCAGATTGTATTTTTCCGCAAATTATTGCGGAAGAGAGAAAATTCCGCACTAATAAAAAATATGAAAAAAGTGGTTTTAGTCTAATTGGCTGAAACTGTGATATTCTAGATTATATATGTAAGATTATGCAATCAAAAGTTTTCTCAGACAAAACCATAAAATAAATTTTGTTTTAACATCATTTGAAAATCGCTATATTTTGTGATTAAAAAGTATTTTTACTCTAAACTATTTATTTATTGGTAATTATACCTTATACTTTTATGCACGGAATATATAATGAGAGACGAATAAATTGATGTAACTTATAGAAAATGAAAAAAATTAATTTTTTTGTTTATAAATTAGAGTAGTTCTCTAGTTGAATTTGACATCTTTATTTACTTTTATTGTTATTTAAAAAAATGCAATTTGCAATATACATACTTGCAAATACAACATATGTTTTTTAAAACAACTATGTGTTTTCTTTAGATAATTAATTTATCTCATTTTTTGTGCATACAAATATTAAGATATAGTTGTTAAAAATGAATATTTCAATAAATAAAGATATAATACTTTTCAGTCTGATTAGACCTTTAAAAAAATAGCAACTTTCAAATAGAGCTAGAATAAAATTTGTCTATTTTTTATGTATAATAGTTTTATCTATATCTTTACACTAAAATTTTTTGTATTATATATATGAATTAAAAAATTTTCTTTAAAAATTTAAGATTTTTAAGATTTTTAATTTCATTTCCAAAGAAAATTTTTGAAAAAATTCAAGATATTAATATTTTTATAAATATTTTTCAAATATTCATAAATTTAAATGAAAAATTCTTAAAAATATTACAAAATATTATAAATTTTTTTTCATCAAAATGGACGTTTGATTTTATAAAAGTCTTTTTAGATTTACAAATTATACACTTTTTGAATTATTGAATATTTGAATTTTCACATGCTTTTTGAATATTTTATAAAATCTTTTATAAAAAAATAGTGGAAATTTTATACAAAAAATATATTCTTCATGACATTCTCGAGAAATGCAGATTCTTCGATTGTTAATCGTTCTGCTTTTGTTTCTTCAAGTTATACCGCGAGCATTCTGCAGACATGATACTCAGACTAATTAAAATGCAATTAATAATCGCGAAACGAGTCTTCCAATAATATGTCTTCCAGAACGATAATATTGATAAAAATAATAACAGTATCACACACTATGATAACAATGTATTACTACTTTATTGAGCAAAGATCTTTGTCGAATGATGTTAAGCGTTATATTGGAGAACCGTAGATGTTAAGAGTTAAACTTATAAACTACGATCGCGCATAATTGATGTTTCATATCGATGAATATATCAATAACACAAAATAACATACAAAATGTAAGTAAAATCATGCTATTCATGAAATCAATTTAGATCGTTAACGAGGGATCATCTTACTTCTTTTGTATCAACAATAATTATCAAAGATAATTGAATGAGAATTGTGTTGGAATCTTCTCTTTGTAATTATCGGATGATGACAGATTGTGAGTCGTTGTAAATGACTCGTCTTGTATATTTTAATTTCGCTTTTTGATATATCGTTGAATAAATCTTCTAACAATATCTTTTAGAACGGTCTCTCTCTTATAATCAGCCTTGAGAGAAAAATAGAACGCCATAATGTAAAATCCGTTGAGTGAATTTAAAGAGATGGTTGTTGAACTTAAATTATTGAAGCTAATGATGAAACACCTCGAAAACTAACACGAACGAAGGCGAGCAAGGCTTTTAAAGCGCTTTTGAAAAAATATTCATATTTTGCGGCGTTTTAAGGACAGCAAATCTCTTTGATGTTGTGTAGGCAGACTATACCTATAAACATTATAAAAATGATGTAAAGCGGTCTCCATATTATAAAAAATATGAAAATACATTGAGTACGAGGAACGATAATATATTAACAAAATTTTACGAATGTATTCTTTATTTGTACTTCACTATTGCTAACATGAGCACGTTATTTCTTTATTAGAATTATCCATAGAAATTTGTTTCTGATACGAAATTAAATTTCATTTCGAATTTCTCTTGCTTATTCATATATTAATTATAGAAGAAAAAATGAGGGATAAATTAAATATTTCGTTAATATATATATATATATATATATATATAATATTATATACGTATATGTATGTATACAGGGTTCCAGAGTATTTGGGATAATTTTGATGATATGCAGATAGATTAAACTGAGTCAAAAAGTTCACTATAATCTTTGAATTTTCACAATAGTTAACGAGTTATTAATTATTAAAAATTGTCATATTTTAGCCCGGCTTAGCACCAAAGGCAAACGCAAATATAATTTTATAATGTTCTTTAAAGAGATATAAATTTCTTTTCAAATATACATATAATAATTATTGTTTCTAATATTTGCACATTTAATATTATCAAAAATATATTTATTGTAAAAGATAACCGTTACTTACTAAGGGAACTTAATTAAATACAAAGGAACACAAAACCGTCTCCTTCCGATTTTGATGAATTTTTAGTTATGTTGTTCTATAGACAAAATTAAGAAAGTTTTTTCTTATATCGGTTGAATCGTACATTAAAAGGGAGAAAACCTCCTTTGATAAAAATCGATTTTTTTCTTTCAGAATGAATATATCTTCGAAACTATAAGAGATAGAATTACGACATAATAAACATTATGAAATACGCATTTAATTGCATTCACACATTTCAATTGTGCTGTTTGTGTGTGTGTGTAGCATTATTGATTGAAAGAGATAATAGATAAAGATAAAAGATAAAAATTAAGTCCAACAATGCCGCATTCTTCTTCTTCTTAATTTAAATAGCCCAGGTTCCGGGGTAACCGGATAAACGTGGATAGTCGTTTCCAAGACGCCCTTAACCTTCCACAGGACTCCCCAAAAAAGACGTAAACTATATGCAAAGCACCGGCCATTTCGAAACCGGACAGGTGTGTGTGTTTGTGTGTGTAATGAATGCGCAGAATAAAAGGAACAGAGAACGGAGAATAAGAATTTCAACCTATCAGAAATCATGTACTGTGGAATACACACTATTTATTCCAAAGTATATGATTTCTGATATGTTGAAATTCTTATTCTCTGTTCTGTGTTTCCTGTTCCTTTTATTCTGCGTAGCCTCTATAAGCAATAAAATAAAGATGGTGCGCTCTCCAAACACTGGACGCCTGCGGCTACGATGCACAAGTAGCGTTCTCCGCACCTTCGCGCGCCCAGACACTAAGTGAAGGACTTCCGATATATTGAATGCTAGGCTCGGTCAAAGTCAGCAACACTTTTAAAAAAATATTAAAAAATGAAAAAATTATCCACACTTTTTTTAAAGGTCTTCGAATTGGTAACAATTTTTCTAATTTTCGGTAAGGACACCATCGATGGTCAAGACCCTCAAAACATTAAGATACCAAGTTTTGTTGAAATATTTCATGTTTTAGTGTGATAAAAATTATCTTGAAATCAAGCAAAAAATGTCCTTCTGCGCGTTAATGGGTTAACCCAAAGATACTCAGGTCTGATTGGGTTTCTCTGTTCCGAGATAGATATAAAACAAACAAAACGAACAATACTATAATATATATTGTGTCCATTATAATAATTGGTACAATTGAATACAAATCAATTTTCATATTTTCAGTGTTAATATATAATTTAATTCTTTTAAGATTATGAAGTTATTGCAACAACAAAGATTATGTAATTAAAAGTCACAAAATGTTATCCGCCATACACATTAAATAATACTTTTAATATATATATTCCCAGAATATTAAATATAACACTTTAAAAATATTTTACTAAAATTATGTAATGTTAAATAATATTCTTGAAATATTAATTAATAAATGATTACATGTCTCCATTCTTGATAATATTATATAATTATTAAAAATAATGTTAATTATTTAACATTATTACACACACACACACAACTTTAATATTGTATAAACATTAAAAAATAGTATAACAATTCATTTACTTCAATTTTTAAAACTGTTACATCGGTTCAGTTCAAGTATGCGTTCAAAAAAAGACTGAAAAATTATTTTAGTCTTAATTGCAGTAGGAGCAGTTGTTGAACTGGGTATGTATGTACGTAAAATTACACCGAAACGTTATTTAAGAGAAAACATATAATATTCATAGAATACTCTTATAATATTAAATAAACAATATAATAAAAAATAAACAATATTCTTGAAATATAATAATTTATTTTAATTTTTTAATAATATTTATATAACATTTTAGGAATATTTTGCGCTTATAGGGATGTGAATTAATTTCCTAAATTTGCGTCAAGATGTATTAAACAATTAGAAACCTATTTTTAAAGATTGACATCCTGACGAGTATTAGAGTCCTTGTTATATTTATAAGTGATTAATAGCGTTTCGAGTACAGTGAGTTTTAACCTAATAACCCGGGTCGGATCGATGACGTCCATGCTCTACTTTGGCTACATTCAGCAGAAAAAAACCACTTTGCAACTGTTGTAAAATTCTTGAATATGATTGGCTTATACATTTAGATCTGATGAGGAAGTAAAGGCAAGACCAATCATATTAAAGAATTTTACAATTGCAAAACTCTGCAGAACGCAGAGTTTCCTTTAATTTCTGACTGGACGAGATTATGATTTCGGGTCAAACATGAGTTAATCGATCTGGATCGGGTTCAAACCCACTTAAAAAACGCTATGACTTAATTTTACAACTCACCGTTAACTTTTAACCGAGGTTCAACTTATTTCTTATCTCTTTCAAATTCTAGAGAATTAGAAAGACTTAATTATAAGCTGTAAAACTGAAGATGCGTTCCGAGTTACACATGAAGCGCATGATGCATTATTTGTCTTTGTTGTTCACTGAATAATAAAGAAGGATAATATGATATCTTATGCATAACTCGGAACGCACCCTGCGTCTATATAAGTAAGCATGGAGTACTTTCCAATTGCCCGTTATCGTTGACAAACACTACAGACTACACATCTGTGCTCAGCCGAGGGCTGTGTAGCCTTATGTTTTTTAGTAACATTCAAGTCATTTAGTAACATTGAGTCATGCACAACGCTGCACTTTGTGCATTCCTATGTACGTTGTGTCAAGATATGTTGAGAGTAATTGGAAAGCACTCATGGATCCTCAAGTAGACACCGGCGCTTTGACATCGAGCATGATTTGTGAAAAATGAGTGATGGGGATATATTTTAACCTTACAAACTGTTTTTTTACTAATCAGCGCTTGATATCAAAACATCGGTGCCTTATGAGGATTCATGCTAAGAAACTGATAATATAATACTAATTTTATAATTTGTTAGTTTCGTAGATATGTATATGCATTTAAAACTCAACACTCAACAACGATTTTTAAGTAAAATTGTGATTTTAATGTTACCAAGTTTATCAATAAAAATAATAACTGTAGAGAAAAAAATTGTAATTTTGCCATAAAATATATAAAATAATAATAACATCTCGTCGGTGATTCTGATGACAGAGTGCCTTCCAACAAGCAACACAGATGACACAGTATAACACAAAATATATTAGTACATCCTTGTTGTTCGCCAATGTTAAACAAGGATAAGATAATCACTGTGTCATTTCGTCGCTTGTTGGAAGGCACACAAAGTTAATCGACCGATCAAGTAACTAACATTGATGAAACCATATAATCTGTAATTAGCTATTTAGGCCCTCTTTCACCAACCTTTAGATAATTAAATTAATCGACGATTAACTCGCATATATACCAATAGTAGTTCAATAAATTAAAACCTTTCTTCCTCTTCTGACAAACTATGCTCAGTTGGCAATTGTGATGATTGAATTAACTATCAATCACATTAATCAAAGTTGATGAAAGAGGACTCTTAGAGGACCCTATAGTCGTCTGTTTTTTTGCGATTTTTTTTCAAATAAATATTTTTCTAATTTGCCTTACAGATTTACAAAATCCTTCTTCATATTTAAAGTATAAGCGATATGATAGTTCAAAACCGGTCGATTTCTAAAAACAAAAAATGTTTGGAAAATTACAGTTTTGTTAATGACTTCTAACGTCGACTCAAAACAATATCTGTTTAAGTTTCTTTAAACTGTAGATTACAAACAAATAATCTTGAGTTCTTAGAATTAGATATTTAATATGAAAGATCAGTTAGAAAATTTAATATGTATATATATGTATGTGTGCGATATTAGGTATTAATATATTGTAGTAAATAATAATGAAATAAACGCTAAATTTGTTTTATAAATTTATTTATATTTTCAAAAAAAAAAATAAAATAAACAATAATTATTAACATTAATAATTACTTTTAATAATAATAAACACAACAATAATATAACAATAATACAACAATAATTATTTTCAATAATAATAAACACAATAATAATATTCAATGATTGATCGCTTCTTTGTCGGGACGATCAATTTTAGCAAGTCTGTGATATCGAAGCAAGTGGAAGAACTTTACGTATTAATTATTATTTTTAATTATAATAAACATAGTATTAATACAATAATTATTTTCAATAATAATAAACACAATAATAATATTCAACGATTGATTGCTTCTTTGTCGGGACGATCAAACGTTGAATATTATTATTGTGTTTATTATTATTGAAAATAATCATTGTTGTATTATTGCTGTGTTCATTATACTATTAAAAATAATTATTAATGTTAATAATTATTGTTTATTATTTATTTTTGAAAATATAAATAAATTTATAAAACAAAATTTAGCGTTTACTTCATTATTACTTACTACGATATATTTTATGGTATCCAAAGGGTATCTTAAGAATTGTCCGCTGCACCAAATACATTTTTTTCATTTTACTGTGTACAAGACGATTCTGCATCACTTTGACAATTATCGTAACCAATGATAATCACTGAATAAGCATTCAGTATGCTGGCCTGCTCTGTCAGAATTTTTGCGTTCCGAAAGCCATCGAATTAAAAAGTGTTGCAACCTTTTAGTAACCGACTGTATGTCACAGACACACGCGCGTGCGCGTATATTAATACATTATACTTTAAATCTGTAAAAAGATTTTCAATTCTGTAAAAAAGGAAAAAGTATATAATTGTTATACAAAAATTATTACATTTAGTCGGTAATACAAACGACTTTAGGACTCCTTTACCCTTATATCTCAGATATTAGTCCGCAAAATTATTATTTATAAATAACCTTTTTTAACTTAATTTTTCAAAAATTTTCTTGTTACAGTATTTTAAATCATCCTCTTTTTTTTTCTTTCTCTCTTGTTGAGAACTAACGTATTCGAATAACTACATTTTCTCAACTCGTATATTGCCATAAAAATTAACTTTTGAAATATATGTCATGCATTTCAACATGTATTTATAAAAGCTTTGTTTTGTATCACACATTTTCGGTAACTTATAGTTATATTGTAACATTTCGTATTTTTTTATTTTGTATTTCTCTTTTTTATCTTTCAATTTTAGTCACTTGAAGCTGCCTTTTCTTCTATGTGTAAATCTTCTTTTAAAGATTCGATTTTATCAATTATAATGCTATTTGCAACGTTACGCTCTTTCTCTTTAGTGTCTTCTTTAGTTTCATTAATACATTTTGTTACATCCTGTTTATAACCAGTGTTAATTTTTTCATCTGTAATAACTTCATCTTCAATAGCTAAAATTTCTTTCCCTTTAAAGGCTTTGTAGTCGCTTTTTAATTTATTACTTTGTTTTGCTATATTATAATCTACATCAGTTAAAGATAGACTCATAACACTGTTTACTTCTTTTTGTTTTAGAGAGATTTCTGCACAATGTTTGATGCCTTTTTCTTGTTCACTCATATCTTTAGTTTGTTTATTATCACAGTTATTTGTTAAGATTTTTTTAGTTCTCTCTCGTTCTGAATCTTCATTTTTCATTATAGTTTCCCTAGTATCTTTATTAGCATCACATGACAAGTTTTCCACATATTGAGTCTTATTTTCATCATTATTATTTTCTAGTGACGCTGTAATTAACTTTGTTTTAGTATTTTTACATTCGAATGTCACAATTGTTTGAACATTTTGCAACTCATCCAATTTATCTTCCTTCTTTCTATCTTTTTCACATGCTTCAATTATCTCTGTATCACTCTCAAATGAAGATAAATCTAAGTTTTGTAAATCAGCCTCATCTTCTTTGTCTGTATAAATTTCACGTGTTTCGTTTATGTGTGAGTTTAAATTGCTGTTCTGATTATCCATATTGTTTATTCCTATATTATTCATATCAGATTCTTTAGAAAAAATTATATTGCTTTCTTTTTTGTTTACTGTCGTTATGTCTTGTGACTCTGCAGTGTTTTCCTCATAATTTTGAGATTTAGATTGATAAAACTTTTGTGTATGTGATTCCTTATATTCTTTCCGAGGTGATTCTATTTTATGATATTTTTGCAAGCTCTCATCTTCTCTTTTAATTTCTTTCTTACGAAAGTAAGGAGATTTGTTACTGAAGTCTTTTTTCTTTGGTGAAAGTTGTGACTTTCGCCAATTCGAGGATTCGTGCAGATTTTCACAATAGGTACCTTTAGGTCTGTCTTCATACAACTTTGGACATGAAAAGGACTCGGTGTCAGGGGAAGTTACTTCAACATCCGAATGACTACTATATGTTACACGACTTTTTTGTCGCGGTCCGACTCGTCCTGTTCCAGCAATACTTGGTGAATTTACTAAAATTATAACATTAAAAAAGTATTTCAAATATTTTTTATATTCGGAAATATATGTCACTGTAATTTTTAATGTAATACCTTTGACACTCATGACTGGACCTTTTGCCATATTTTCTTGATTCAACGTAATTTTTATACTTTTGTCGGTAGCAACAACAGTTCTCTTTTCGGAACTGGAAGAATTTTTAAAGTGTCCAACTTGATATGTACTGTTGGAATTGTTTTCATAATTATTATGAAAATGTCTCGAATTTCCTCGATAGGAACGATGATTACCGCGATTATAGCTTATATAATCATTTCCTGCAGAAAAAACCAATTGTATACACATATATCTAATGATAAAAACATAATTAACAATTTCCTTGATTTTTACTTATGTATAAGAGTATTAGTTCTTACCATTAACATTGTATTTTTTATCAAAATCTTTAAAGTCCTTTTTTATATGATCTTCTAATTTAGTCTCAGTTCTCGCCATTTCATCCACAATGTGAGCCTGCAATTGCATTTATATGACCTATTGTATCTATACCAATCATATAGCAACACATTTCCTCTCTCACCTTGTTATTATCCCATTCTCTACGCCAATTACCTTCTGCAGTTCTCTGTCTGCTAATGCGATCTTCATCAATACGATTTCTCTCAGCTCTCCAAGCTTCGTACTCTGGCTGATGCTCATCCCTGTATGATCCTCTATTTGTTCTACAATCCTTTTCAAGAAGTAGCTCATTTAAAAAACAAGAGTGTCTAGGCATATTTAGGATATTTCGTTTTAAGTTTTACATACTCTTTGCATTCCATCTTTTCCTCCTGGTTTCTTCTTAAACATGCCTCTTGAATGTTTCTGGCCTCTATTTGAGTTGTCCTTCGTGCCCTCTCTTTCACCTCCTTCTCTCTCAGCATCAGCAAGGAAATTATATTTAGGATCAGGTGGAGGCCCTTGTCCCTAAAAATTAAAACAGTGATAAGAATTTTCTCAATTTATACAATATCAAAGTTTAAAAAAGTCTAAGCTTTTAAACAAGAAAGATCTTGGATCTGTTTTTTGTTCCTGCACTGTCTGAACTAGTACACACGGTGCAATAAGTTGGAGTAAAACAAATATACGTTTGTTTCACTTTAACTTATTGCACCGTGTGCACTAGTTCAAACAGTGGAGGAACAAAAAACAGACCCCTTATTAAATTAAATTAAAATAATAATAATGAATATCAATCAAGAAATGTTCAACACAAGTAAACGAAGAATATTTGGTCGAAGCACATGTTGATGCTTAATGATGTTTTTGCGTAAATCTTACAATTTGTAGTTTAAGTAAACTATGTGTCAATTATTCGATACTTGTTAGTTTTGAAATACAATTCTAAACTGAAGCTAAAATATAATATAGTACCACAAATTAAACTGACAATTTAATAATATCAATGCATTTTAATACGCTGCACTGAAAAGAATTTATTGTGAAAATCATCTCAGTCAATATTCAAACCTGGATCTTTCTATATTTCATGACGAATGTCTTTATCATTTATTGAACTGGAAATTATAAGATTTACGCAAAAATATTATGAAACACCAACATCTGCCTTGAATGTATGATCTTCTTCGATCAAATCAAGAATCTTATTCTTCTCAATACAATTTTTGTGTACCTGAGCAAAGGTATGAACTTTTCGTCCTTCACCATTCGTGGACTGGTATTGCTGAGGATGTTCATGATGTTCTTTGATAAATTTTATTTTATTACTTGTTCTAGATGGATTAGAAAATTCTGGTGGCTCCTTCCTTTCCGGCCAATCTGTAGATGGTACCATTTGCACCAGTGCATTCAATTTAGCCGCATTTTTCTTATCTTCCTCCACTTCCTACGCAACAAAGTCCATTATTTTCTACATAGAACAGTTATTCATCGAATCGCTCAATTCTTACCTCATGTCTTCTCTTAATTTCTTCATTTTGTTGCCTTATCTTATTAATCTTCTCCTCGAGTGTATTTGCTGCCATCTGTAATTTGAAGAAGCCAGATTACTGAAGTAGCAGATTAGAAACAAATATATATTAGATCAATTTTTCTATTAAAATCTTTGAACGAAAGATCACGATGGAAGCATATAACTCCACATTACCCGTGCGTTTCTTTTTTAATGTACTCGTGTGGGATGAGACTCAAATACTCTAGAGCCTTTTTTTAAACTAAACTTTTTCTATAATTCATTTTTCCTTTTTTTCTCTTCACATTGGAGAAAAAAAAGAAAAGATATATAAATTTTAAATAAATGCGAAGTTAAATTGTTCGGATATATATCATTGGTACTAAAAATCTATAATATACAAATTACAGATTTTTCGACACTTGCAATGCTAGCTTAAAAAAAATAAGTTATATATTTCAATTTTCATTGTTCTCTTTAATGATTTGCAATAAAATAAAGATTGATATAATAATAGAAATATATACTCTAAATATAGATGAATAAATCTAATCAAAATTAAAATTGCCAATAAAAGTTGGATGATAGCGTGTAATTCAGTTTATTAACAATAAAAACATCTCTCAAACTCCATCAAAAAAGATAATAATTAATAATATAAATTGTTTGATTCTGTTTCAGACCTTCTTCAGTACACAATATATCTAAATTCATAACTGATAAATATCAATATAATGAATGTGATACAATTAACGTTATACAGAGTAGAGTTTAATGATCCACAATAAGGTTGTCATATCAGATTAATAATATTCTATAAATCCTCTAGATAAAAATAAATAGAAAAAAATTTTTCTTAATGTCAGGATTTTTTTGTAGGAAAAGGGCCATGATCTAAAATAGAATAATAATACTAATTATAATAACATCTTTAGTATATTTTTTACACATTTATATTCATAAATCATATACATGTGTATGTATGTGTGTATTAGACACACACACACACACACATTTATTATTATTATTATGTCGAAAGTTGATATATATATATATGTGTGTGTGTTTATATGATTATAAAAGTATACGCTTGGTTAAAAACTTTCACACTGTGACAAGGTATTTGTAAGTTGAAAAACGTATTTTGTTTTTCAGAAAGTTTTTTTTATTACTATTATAAGAGAGATACTGTAGCAAGTTTGACATACTACCTGCCCTCATCGACACTCATGTCTATTTAAGAGGAGGGCAAGTTCAGAAGGAGACAAATGTCCCATCTTGCCTTCTCTTCTGGATATCCATAATCAAAGATGTTTCAGCTAAATATTAGTCAAACAATCAATCAAAATAATATCAGTCAATATTATTTAATTTTAATATTAATCTATGAAAAAATACATTATTAAAAACCAACTACAAAAGAAAACAAAATAACAAATAATTTGGCTTATAAAAAAAGTTTTATAATCAGTATATATTAATAAAATTTGATTTTTAATTCTTAACATTCTTCCTCACACAAATTTGTATATTATAAAATATGATTTAATATAAAAATAAAAACAAACAAAAAAATTAAATAATTTTTAAACCAATAAAACAGAATTATGCTTAAATTTTACACAGATGTTCAGATGTAATAATAAAATATAAAATGTTTTTTTACATCTCTGTGGTATTGTTTTTAGATGTGATATAAATCTACATCTTTAAAAGTGCATAGTACATTTTCTGCTTTTGATCTGATAATGGGACGATCATTGAAGCAAATTACTCGCGCGATATACTACGCGATAGGAATCACTACGTGTCACTGCGTGCTGTGAAAGAAACATCACTCTTCCGAATTACCTCGTGCTCTACTTAATAATAACCGATTGCAAACGATCAATTTTTCCATGAACGCGCGTTGTTTATTCGTTAATATGATACACGTATGAGTTGCCTGTGCGTGATTTCAGTCAATCTCGCTAATGGAAGAATCTCGCGGTTAGATCTCCTATACCCTACGTCCTACGTTAATCCAACCGAGGACTCCGCAAAGTAAAAAGCTAGACGAGTTATCATCTCCGTCGCGAGTAAATCAACGGAGCGCTGAGATTCACGACGTATCCCCGACGTCGATGACACGTTCTAGGCGACGGAATTTCCGAACAATCGCTTCAAATTTCATTAATTTCGATCAAAACTTGCTTTATTCTTTATACATTATAATAGATGGATACTGCATGTTCACATGAATTGTTGCTGCAATGAATTTTAATCATGGAGGGTGACATGGATGCCTGCGGTTAAATGATAAAGAAAATCGCAATGAGATATAAGCTTCATTTAGTCGTGATCGCAGTAACACGTCACTTTGCTGCAATTGTGATAATAACGTACGACGTACGACGATTAAATGCGTAGGAGCGTCGCAGAACTGAATGTAACTGACACTGGACTGACTGGGATTGGTGAGATTTGGTCAAACTGGAGCAGCTGGAGTAGATCGGACTAGACCAAAGTAGGATTCGGTGGTGTACATTATACGTGAGATATTTTACCTTGGCTACGTTCCACTTAACGCTCACACAATCGCACGAGCACTCGCGAGCATTGTTTGTCCTTGTTTAACATGTAATAAATAACAAGGATGAATCGAGCGTTGGGAATGTCAAAGGGAACACAGCCCTTGTATTATACATGGTCTTAAAGAGCGGTATTCATACTCCGTTATTATTTTAAGACCGTCTTAAGTAATATCTTAAGATATGCTAATACAGCCTTCTAATTGACTTATGATATCTTAAAACTGTACTTAAGACAGTCTTAAAATAAGAATCGATTGACTATGAATACCGCCGCTCAAAAATATAGAATAGAAAATGGACTGCGCGATCCAAGTGGATTCAAGTATCAAATTGGTCGATAAAAATAAGAAAGGATAATGGTAGACGGCCAATCTCTATCTCTTACCATTCAAAGCTGCGTTCGAAATATCATCCGAGTACCTCCGTGTATCGTCTTATCTTTGTTTAACAATGAATGAACAACAAGGATAAGATAATACTATCGGAGAAACTGGATGATATTTCCAAACGCAGCTTATAGGCCGCAGCACACACCTTTGCATAACGCATGAACCATATACATAAAGGATTTGATTGGTCCATTGACTCATGTATAAGAAAATGGACCAATGAAATTCCTTATGCACATGCTTTATGCGTTATGTAAAAGAAGGCTTGTTCTTTTTGCCTGCACCAGTTCAGACAGTGCAATAAGTTGAAGTGAAACAAACATATATCTGTTTCACTTTATCTTATTGCACTGTGGACACAGTGCAGAAAAAAAGAACAGACCTAGTGTGTTTCTCGCCTAACGGTGTAATGAGAGAGATGGGAGAATGAGAATGAGAATGAGTGGGAGATTAAATCAGATTGGATGGAGCTGTCTTCTTCCTCCATCTTCCTCGATCCCTCCCTCCCTCACTCTTTCTCATTATTGTTGAATATGTTTGAATATTATTAATAGATACAGATCACACACGCATTCTCTATTGGAGAATTTATATTGGCCGTAACCGTATGCCAAATGCCGTAGTCTATAAAAATTGACCAATCACACATTCGAGTGTTCCCCTCTTATTCGACTATAAAAAGGGAATACTTGAGTGTGATTAATCAATTTTTAAGGCGCGCAGCGCACACACATGTCGCATAATGCCTAGTTCATACTGGATGCGATGGGCGATGAACGACGAGCGATAACCAATAAAAGCTTTGCTTTAGCTCACATGACGATGTAAAGAAGAGTTCTTATTGGTTATCGCTCATCGCGCCTAGTGTGAACTAGGCATAAGGGCCAATTTCACCAACGTCGGTTAGACTAACTAACGGTTAATTCCAATGGAATTATCTAATCTCATTTGTCTTTGACCAGAATGAACCAATCACGGTTGACACTTTAACCGTCGGTTAGCTTAACCGATGTTGGTGAAATTGACCCTTATGCCTAGTTCACACTAGCGCGATGAGCGATGCGCGACGAGCGATAACCAATAAGAATTCTTCACGAGTTCTAGCATCGTGGACACAAGGCTTAAGGGCCAATTGGCGATGCAAAGATCTCTCTGCGCGTTCCTAGTGGCGGCCGGTAGAAGCTTCGTTAGTCAGACACCTTCAAAGATAGAGAAGTCTTTGGACACCTTAACGTGCTATAATGGAAAATAATAAAGTAAAATCAAAAAGAAATACTACATAATGTTTTGTGGCACAATACCATAATTATAAACAGAAGGGGATTTCCTAAAAATAATAATTTTTTTTAAGTGATGAAAACTGATCCCCTTCTGTTTATAATTATGGTATTGTGCCACAAAACATTATGTAGTATTTCTTTTGTCTCGGTTCATAGGGCAGAGCGACACTTATTTCTGCCAGATTCTTTCGTTTCATGCAAAAACGCGTCGAATAAGCCTAATTTGATCGATTTTTAAGCTGCTTGAATGATTCTGTATAATTACCAAAAAATGGACTCTGACGTATGTAAAATATTAATTTTAAAAAATTTTACATTTTCTAAATTTTGCGATCTTCATTATTGTACAAAGCAAATAATATATTTTTAAAATGTATATATTATAACTTTTCAATTTTACAAAGACTGAAAAAGATTACAATTATACAAAGCTAAAATATAAAAGATAGAGGTAACAAATATACAATAACAATAATAACAAATTAGAAGTAATTTCGAAATATTTGTAATATTAAATTTAATATATTAAGTAACTCAAGTAACTTTCAGTAGTCAAGTAACTCTTGAGAGTTTCTAACTGCTACTATATACTATTGCTTCAAAATAGGTTAAATTGTCGCACAAAATTCGACGCTGTAAATTCTTTTCATGGATTTCAGTTGTCGCTGGTAACAATGTGATCACGTAATCCTTTTGACGCTGAAAATGAGTGTCCAGCGTTATCATGAAAAGGCACCTTGAGGCTCATGTTCAACTGGAAATTCTGTGTGATTCTGTGTGCCATGAAGATTATCGGTACCATCGAACAAATTGAACAGATACATTTGGAATCTTCTCCTTGGCTGTCGCGTTTGGCTGTTCGTGAGAGTCGTTTACCTTCTGATATCCCGCATATCCCGATTTTGATTGAGGATATTCCTCGATATACGTCTTTATCTGATTATACAAAAAATTGTATACAGACCATACAAACAATTGGTGAGATATTACCCATTACAGCGCGAGTTGCGCATTTACGAAGTATTTCATCAGATCGCGAGGCGAGAGTTACTCTTAGTCTAGAGGAACTTCCTGTGCATGCTCTTTATTCCAAGGACAGCAAGGGAAGGCACCTATTTATATGGGTAAAGAAATTAATTTGTTTTTAGAAAGGTTGTTTCAGTGAATATATATCTTTCTGAATTCTTGTTAAATGCTAATTGTACAGTTTATCTACAGCATTTCAAAAATCAATAAAATTAGGCTTATTCGTTGCGTTTTCGCATAAAATAAAAGAATCTAGCAGAAATAAGCGTCGTCCTGTTCTGAGAACTGAGATATTGAGCATTAAAAGTGGACGACTATTGAGGTTAGAAAATCTGTCAGCTGCGAAATGTTCTATGACAATATACATTTGCGTTTTTAATGGTCGCTGCTATTGGATGATCTAAAAGAATGTACCACAGTGAGTGCACAGATCTGCTCCGCAACAGTTGAGTCTGCTGAACGCGACCAATATTTTTTGCTACAGTAGAGTGCATGAAATTTGAACTTACTATTTGAAACAAGTGAAGTGCAATGACATTCCCCAAAAAAAAAGTATATTAAAAAATTATAAGTGTATAATTGTTCATGGGCTTTACGAGAAGGAAAAGCAGAAACCTTTTGCATTTGCACATATTAAGAGACGCGGTAGTGTCTCCGGCCATATTCAAATCAAAAACTGACAGACACTACAAGTCTCTTATCCCGAGCCACCAAAGTCCATTTTTCGGGGATGCATAACTACTAAAATAAAAAAAATTTTGCATCGTACGTAATATATTCTGAAAGGAAGCATCGCCACGAGTAATTTGAGCTAAAAAATATTTTAAATTTCATGTATTCTACTGTAGTGAGAAATACCAAAAACGCATGAGCAGAGTTATGGAGCAGAGCTATGGAGCAAGAAAACACGACCGCAGTCCATGTTTGCGTCACAGTATTTTTAACTGTGTCAGATTTTCTCTCTAACCTTGATAGTTGTTAACTTTAACACTTAATATCTTGATACTCGGAGCAGTGACGCTTATTCGTACCGGATTCTTTTGTTTCATGCAAGCCGTATCAAATAAGCCTAATTTCATTAATATTTTTGGATGCCGTAACTAAACTGTTTAATTACTCATTGCAGAAATTGATAAACATTTTTGAGTTTACTGAACGAAATAAAAAATCCCTCTCTCCCATTTATAGAATTGAAATAGATGGAAAATTAGAAGATGCTGCAGTGGACTTTATACTAAAATCGAAAACAGTTGTATAAACGTATTCATAAAGAAAATTATCCAATCGCACATGGAACTTAATAAAAGTAATGTGATTGGATCATTTTCTTTACATTTATGCGACTATGCAAATTTTTGTAAATATATCTTAATTAAGGCTCTTGAATAGTTACCACAGCCATATTGAATTTTGATGTCAGAAATAAGCTTCTGATATCACAATTCAATATAACTGGTGACTACTCAGGAACTTCAATTACTAATAAGTTAAATAGATGTTTTTGTATAACAGTAAAATAGTTTAGTATGCATTCTGTTTGACTTAATTCTCATAATATTGTATTTTTTGCAGGAAAAATTTAGTATTTTTAAAATTTTTGGAATGTTGGAACAGAAGAATAATGAAGTTGTAATGACAGCTCATAAACTGCTAAGAGTCCAAGACATACGTGGCAGTTTGAATACATTATCATTATTGTCTTCTGCAGTTCGCCCCATGCATTACCAGTAAGATTTATATAAAAGCTACAATTCCTTCCTATTGAAGAAAGCTGTATTAAATCTGTTAGGGAGAATTCACATATTGCCAGAAAAAAATCAGAACTTGCGCTGGTAGAAAAGTAAAATGTACTGCATACTACCAGCGCAAGTTCCTATTGGCTGTGTTCAGCAGAGAAAATTAATCAGTGAACGCTTAGTAATTTTTTAATATGATCGGTTCCTGAACTTAGACTCAGCGAAGAACTAAAGGCAGAAACCAATCGTATTAAAAAATTACTAAGCACTAACTGATTTGTTTTCTCTGCTGAACATTACCATTGGCTTCTGCTTTTCTGTTAAGATGTGAATTCTTTCTTAGAACAAAAAACAGAATAATGGTTGAGATCAAAGAGAATGGATAAAACGGAAAGTTCTTAGATGAATATGATAAGCACAAGTAGTACTATTGTACTACTACAATAAAGTGATGTGGAATCCACAATATACAGAGACTATAACTTCTTACAGATATAAAGAGTTGAAATAAAATGAAAGCGAAGAATTTAATGAATGAATCTTCCTGCACATACATTTAAATGTTCGATATTAAGAGCTAGTATCACTACAATAAGAGCATTATTTAATCGAAACATGAGTATATTCACACAGTGTTTGAATCCTCTCACTGGTGTTGCTTCGTGGGAAGAGAAAGATCAATATTACGATTATCATCAAGAAGTAGCTAGATCTGCCTTTGCAGACATGTTACATGATCATGAACGAGTCAGTATCTTTTTATATTATTACTTTATATTTTTTTACTCATTGATAACACCGATTCACAACGTTTCTGTTTTTCTATACCTGAATGGTGAATCTTAGTTACTTAAAAATATTGTAAGGTTGAAGATCTATTACCTACTGATTTTAGAAATTTATTTTTGAAAAATCTCTAAATTTAAACAATATTTCTGTTACTTTATCAAGTAAAATGCATAAGAATTATAACTTAGGTGACAAGAAATAGTAATCTTGTATTAATCAATATTATAATTAATAAATTATATAATTTTTTTACATTAAACATTACTAATACATTTTATTATTTCAATATATCGTGTAAAATTTTACATAAAATTGAAAAGATTTTTTACTTAATATCATCACGTTTATTTTCATATATTATAAAAAATATATAACTTTTTGCAGCTTATACTATTACATATATTACGAATTTTCTGTAAAAATTCAAATTGGACTTTTTATAAATGAAAGATGATAAAAAGCTCTATCTACATAAGACGCAAACGCAAATTGCAGCTTGTTGCGTTCAACCAATCTCGAAGCATCACTTTTAAAATTAACGCATCGGATTGGCTAACGCAACAAGCTTGCGATTTGCAACTCGCATTTTGCATTTTGTGTGCAGATTGGTCTTGAAGAATCTCGCATAAAACTCTTATGGAAAATGGATCTCGGTCAAATTTCTTCAAGTTTCAATATTTTGTAGCTCATATCAAGCTTATTAAAAGTCCTCACAGGTACAATTTTCCAAATGCCTTGATTTTTTTCTAGGAAAGTCTTTATATTTTTTATATGAAAAAATACAGAAAAATTGAAATAAAATTTTTTAATTACACTTGTGCATGTATCATTGCATGTATACATTTGTGATTTATTTTTTGCTCGTTCTTAGAATTATGTGAAATGAATGACATAGACCGATTCGCATTCGTTCGAGAATGCCTATTTAGACAATTTCGAGACGTTTTGCAATGCGTTTAAAAATAGCTTATTTACTGCTAGTATATAATGTTATGTTTTTAATTTTCCTAATTCTACAATTAGAAAAAAACAATATATTATTGCTTTATTTTCTGTTCTTGCATTAAAATTCTCTTTTTGCTTCCGACAAATATCAAACATGTACCTATTTCACTTTAATTTTCAAAAATGTACACCAAATAACCACAAAAAACAGACCTTACATTATATTATTAGAATCTTTCCTTTTCTGAAATTTTTTTTATTTCGTCCAAAAACATGTCAGACGAGCCTAACTTCAATATTAAGAAAGAAGAGAGACTAATTATTTATTATTTCTTTTAGCACCAACGAATTTTATTCGTATATATTTTTCGCACGTGTGGAAATAAATTTCAATTTAAATAAAATATCATTCATAATACATAAATATAAATTTTATTTGAAAAATAGGGAAAATTTATAATATATTTAAATAAAAAAATTTTATTTTTTATTTATAAATAAGACTTTATTCGTTATTCTTTATTCGAAAAAGTATTCAACTGTGGTATACAGTATGTGTATGTCCATGATATATTGATCCAGTATTTATAATTAATGTTATGAAAAAAAAATTATGTTTTTCATATAAAATGCGATTATCTGTCGAAGATTCTGGAGTAAAAATTAAGGTGTTTATAATATATTTAAATAAATGTGGACTTTTAATCAGCTTGACATAAGCACTATACATCAAAATTTGAAGTAATCTGACCGAGACATGTTTTCCATAAGATATGTACAGGGTTCTTATTTTGTTTTTAAGTATCTTTCAATATAAAAAGCCCTAAAAGAAATATTTTATTGTGAAATAAAATATTGATAAAAAAATTTATTATTGTTTATTGTAATTCTTCAAGTAATCCAACTAGCGAATTAAAATATATATTTCGTTTGATAGAATGAGAAGTATTACTTGGCCCTCAAAGCTGCTATTGAGAAAAAACATCAAGCCGGTGAAGAGGCTAACGTTCTTGACATAGGCACTGGAACAGGATTGCTGTCGATGATGGCTGCCAAGTGCGGAGCAGATACTATAACGGCATGTGAGGTAAGGGAAAACTTTTGAAACTTTTTTCAAAATTCTTGAATATTTTTCAGAGATGGTGCTCATGCAGAAAGATCTTGTTTAGGCTTTCAAACCAATGGCCAAATGTGCCGTACAAATAATAAAGGAGAATGGCTTCGAAGATAAAATTCAATTGATCCGTAAGCGTTCTACGAAAATGATAGTAGGCAAAGGTGGTGACATGCCAAAACGCGCAAATATTCTAGTTACTGAAGTGTTTGACACTGAGTTGATTGGTGAAGGAGCATTATCAACATTCCGTCATGCACATGAGGTTCTTCTCGAGGTAACATCATGTTTGCTGATGATTCTGTTCAAAATACGCTTATACTTTGCTTTTGCATTAGGAAGATAGCATTGTCATTCCACACAAAGGAACAGTATGGGCACAAGTAATCGAAAGCTTCAAAGTCTGTTGTTGGAACCGAGTAAAGCCTATTAAGAACGATGAAATGTTGATCGATACACCACCGGCTATTCAAGCATGCTCTGGTGCTGCAGCTGTACATGACATGCAACTATCACGTCTCTCTCGCGATACTTTTGTGCCTTTGTTGCCAGCACAGCCTATTTTTAGGTAATAATTTTTCCTTTCTTGATCAATCAATCGGGTTCCATGATCTTGGATGAATCTCTTGACTTGATGTAAAAATTCGTCTTTCTTTTTATGAACATTTGCAACAATAAATATTTCACATGATATAATTGTCAGCCACATATCATAATCTTTTAATTAGAAAGGATCAAAATTTCTGTTAGAGTCTTCCTTTTACCCTTAATTTATATATATTACGGGAAAAGTTCGGAAATAGGCAGTGTCGACTTCGTCTCGATTGGATTGGGCAATGTTGACATGGCTCTAGCAATACTGACATTGTGTACAGCTGGCAACTTGAACAATGTCGACACTGCTCACTATACAGATTTTGCCTGTAACATGAGATACATTGACCGAATGACGAGAAAAAAATATAAAGATAGATAGTTTTGTTATATATAATTTTGCAATTGCATTCTTAATGATAATTTTCAAATAATTGGTATTGAAAATGCACTTTAGGTTTGATTGGTCTGGTAAGAAACCCTTATTGAACAACGAAAAAGTATCATTACTTACACAATCGATAAGAAGTGGAACCGCACATGCAATTTTTATGTGGTGGGACTTGAACATGGATACAGATAATCAGGTAATTAACACGTTTATGAGCTAATTTTGTTCCAGCTTCATACAAATAATTTATTTATTGAATAAACAAAAGAGTAAGAGAGTAAGAAAGTAAAACAGTGAACTAATGTTTATCGAAAGGTGGAACAATCCAGTTTACATGTATATTATTTTTTAAAATCTTTTTATGAATTTCAGTCATGTATCATTTACAGCTGCTGCTGAGTTGTGCACCCGTATGGGAACATCCAGATGTACCTGATAATGTGAAAAAAGATGTCTCATGTTTGCAAAAGATGGCAGATTTGATGCCATGGAGAGATCACTGGATGCAAGCTGTCTATTATCTTCCAGAAGAAATATCTATTACATGTGGCACTGAGGTCAATCTTATCGGTTATCATGATGAATATTCCTTCTGGTTTAAATTATTGAGTGGGCCTATGTAAGTTTTTATTTTTTTTCCTATAATAATTTCATTTACTGTGTATTTTATGTAATTTTTATTGTTATTATTTTTTACTTCTTTTCTCTGAATTATCAGTCATTTTTATAAAGGTTATTTTAAAATAATTTTAATTATGTCATATAATATTAAATAAAATTGAAAATTTGTCACAGAGATGGGATTCCAGATTGCCATAGGCCCGAGTGCAATTGTTGGGCGCATATCGCATACTCGCGAACGCGTATTGGTCAATTAAACGACACAGTTCGTAATCAGAGATATCTAAAGGCTTTGCGAAAAAAGATTACTCCAAATAGTGTTTGTCTCTGCGTTTCGGATGGTTGTCTGTTGGCCCTCGCGATTGCAAGATTAGGTGCAAAAGTGTTCTTATTGGAGCAGAATTTTCTGTCACGTAGAACCATGGAGATGTTTGTGCAGACAAACGAGCTCTCTGATCGAGTAAAGATTGTCGAGTCGGTTGACAGTCTACCGCAGGCAAGCGAAATCGATTTCATTTTTGGTGAGCCATATTTTCTGAGCTCCATCGTGCCTTGGGAAAATCTACGATTCTGGTATCTCGCTTCTAAATATCCATCGAGTATTGCGAGGATGCCGGTCATGGCGACGATCAGAGCCGTCGCTGTTGAATTTAAGGATTTACAGAAAATAAGAGCTCCTCTTGGCACTTGCGAGGGTTTTGATCTATCTTCTTTCGACAAACTTATTCAAGTTGGTTTTATTAACTTATTTATCTTTTTTTTTTATTATTTATAATATTAAAGAAAGATATTCTATTTTTAGATTTCTAGCATGAAAAGTGACAATCCGGTAGAGGCGCAGCCACTTTGGGAGTATCCATGCAAAGCATTATCTTCAGGTTTTGATATCGTAAAACTTGATCTAACACGGAACGTAAATTTTGATGAGCGCAAGAGAATAACAGGAGAAATACCTATTTTAGAGTGTGTATCGCATTGAGTACATGTTTACAAAAAGAAATAAATAATGTTTAAGCGTTAGATTTTGAAAAAATAAAAAGGATTTTAATTTCTTTATTGTATAATAGAATATGTAATACTTATTATATAGTAATAACACCTATATTTTTTATTTTGTAGCAGTGGTACCTGCAATGGCACCGCTATATGGGTGGATTGGCAATTAGATTCGGATTTATCGGTATCTTGTGGTCCGATTGAAGAAATTGTACCTGGCAAACGTGTGTCCTGGGATCCATATATGAGACAAGGCGTGCATCTATTTCGTACAGTATCCAATGTTACGAAAAAAAGTACACTTTCATGGTCGTTTACTTTTGTTCCTCAAAATGGAGAAGTAGAATTTAAGTTTAATATAGTAACGAATGATTGAATGTATTAATGAACATTTGTTAATTGAGTTTATTTAATATTTTCAAAATAGTAAAATGTTTAATCTTTGTTTTTTTGCTATATAAGGACAAACATTAAACAATAAAAGATAAAACTTTACAAAAATGGACACCTCATTGATCAATTTAATCTTAACATATGTTGTCAAGGTCATGATCCTGAGTGACTTTCAACAGGTTTTAATCATCGTTTTTTATTCGTTAAAAAATTATTAACTATCAAAATACGTAATTATTTTCCCGCTGTACGTGGGAAATTGAATGACTTTAACCTTGGATCTACAATAGAGTTTTAAGCCTTAAGCCATAAGAAATGGACGAATCATAATCGATTATTCTCCTCGAATTCAACTGTAATTGGTTAATTTCTTATGGCTTAAGGTTTAAAACACCTATTGTAGATCTGGGGTAACAAAAGGATCTTCCCTAAGTGTCACTCTGATTTTAGGATAAAACTCCAATTTTGAATGTAATTTACCAGTAAAGTATCCATAATTCGGGAAGAATCTTCGATCTCAACCCATTCTAGAAATACTGTGATGGGATAGAGTAACCCTTTCATGCGCAAAATCCACTATATTTTCTTTAATATTAACAATAAACTGACGAAATTTAGTACATTCTACTAACATAAGTATGAAGAACGTCTTGTAATCACAATAGCATACAATCAAAGTTATTATTCCTTGATATGCTGTCTTTAAATAGGAGGAATGTCATGTTAGGAAAAAAAGAGCATATACAGAATATTTCAATTTATTTATTTTTATAAACTATATCTAAAAAATATATGTAAATAATAAATTTATAAACAATAAGAAGGAAGCACAAAGCAAAGCCTATCACGGTCAAAGCTAAATCAAGATGCTTATTATCATTATGTGTGAATTTATATATCGCGTATGTAGTTCTCTTAATCGCGTGCCGAATATTTTTTCGGACTTAAAACGCGACTCTAAATAACTACCGCGGTAATATCACTTTAGTTAGATTGACAATCAATCTAACAATTTTCGATGCTTATAGCATCTTATTAGATCTTAATAATATGTTGAAAGACATATTAAAATTTAATATTAAAGTAATGATAATTGAAATCTGTGAAAAATAAGATTGCGAAGAATATCACAAGTTGGCGTTTCGTCCCGGCTTCCACTACTTAATAAATTTATAACAAAAAATAATATAGCGGATTTTGCGCGATCACTCCTCTCCACAACAATATCTCTAAAATGATTGAGATCAAGGATTTTCTCCAAAGCACAGACATTTTACTGTAAAGGTGAAATCAAAATCAGAGTTTTATCTCGAAATCAGAGTGATACTTAATTCCTTGTAAGAAGGGAGATGAATGAAGAAGTAGTTATTGCGAAAACATATTTACAAAAAGAAATTGAATATTTAGCATAAAAATATATTAACATATAATTAAAACATAAGTCAAAATGACATCATGTTAGAACATTTCTAAATGGAGAATTAAGAAGGACTAAAATATGACATCATTAAAACGTCATTATAACGACGTTATATAACGTTATAACGTCGGTTGATCAATTTTTGATCACTTGACGTCATTCGTACCAACATAACCAGAATTTGACGTCAAAATGACGTGTATTTGCCTGAAAAGTTAAAACATAAATAAAATGTAAGTTTTCAAAAAATTTTTAATATAAAAAAATATGTAATTAACTGTAAGTAGAAAATTTATTAAACTCATGTTATATATATATATATATATATAACATTTTACACAGTATTTCTTTTCATCTCCATTTCATATAAAAGTTCATAAAAGATATTTTTTTATTTATCTATATTTTTAAAAATATATCTTAATATTATGAGGTACTGTCCGGTAATATACGTAATTGTTTGGCAAGTCTTTTGCCTATTAATTTTGGATAAGCTTTCTGTTTGATAAGAAATTCTTTGCTCTGATGTGTTACGGCACCATTTTCTAATTGAAATCTGAAAAAGGAAAAGTTCTTCAAACGTTATAATAAACTAATTTCTATTTAATTTTTGTCTGCTTTCTTCAATTACATAACTGTATGTATTTATGCTAAGAAAGAATTGTTTAACAGCTATGAAAGGAACTTATGTACTTGCCTACACAAATAATGTAATGGACCTAGCATCTTCTTTCTCAATTCGGGATCGCCTTCTAAAATTGAGAGCGCACTGGCACCTGTCTCTAATGTAGAGAGACAGCCTTCTGTTGGTTGTGTCCTGATCACATATTCACTAGTCGGCACTCCGATCAGCTTACAAGCTCGCAGAAAATACAGAGCTGGACTTGAGTGGTATATTGCCTGCAGGATAACGATAAACATAGAAAAATTTGGTAATCGCATTGTCTTATTTCTTTTTGGCACACTGTATTCTTTTTATAAGTTTAAATTAGTAATCATGTCATTTATTTAAACATTCATAAATTAATTTAGTTCGCTATACAAATAAATGAAATAAATAAAAATCAACCGAGGCTAGATATATCTTGGTGCTTAATGATATATTTACATGTAAATTCTAAATATATTTTTTATTTCTATAAATTGTTGCGCTGCTTGTGGTGTTATTTCAATTTTGGTTCGATTGCGTTTCAAGTTTCCGATAGCATAATTAATATAAGTGAAAAATTAATAAAAATTTACAAGGACCTAGCTTTAATGATTTTACCAAATGGCTTAACTTTTTGAAATGCTGATTTTTTATTGTGTCTGTTGCAATGATTTATTTGATTTATTAATAAGTTTATAGATATGAATGATGATTTACTTTTGCTTGTGGCCATGTTCCATCTAGCAGAACCAAGTTATATGCCTTCTGTTCGTTAATTCCGACTGGATTCAGCGTGTCTAGTGCCACAGCATCAGGCGATGGATATAGTAAAATAGTATTCTTGTCATTTAATATCTCTGCTAGGCCTTCGTGTTTAGGCAACGGAAACTTCTTTCCTCTTAAAAAAATAATTTTCTAAAATCTTATTTGATCCAAACCCACATGATTAGTGATCATAAAGTCAATGATTTAGCTAAGTAACTGTGCTTCATTCACCTAAAAATTAGGCACTTTCCCGATTCTAATGCCAATGTAAGCATCGGTACTGTACGCAAACAGCGTTTAGCCTCTGCTGGATGCTGTAGGATTATTATCCTTGATGCTGGATTGAGACGCTGTTTTGGTAAACCTGGACACCAGCATACCTGTACAGGTCTCCTATGAAAACACCTATGATGTTAGACTCGAGAAGTTCATAAGCGCTTTCCAACAAAGCGAGAAACACAGTTAGTGTAACAGAATGAATCATTTTATTTTCGTTTAATATTGGCAAACAATAAGAGTTTAATGATTTATTGTATTATATTGTTTCATGTGCGTCTCTTGCTGGGAAGCACCCTTTGAGTATTTAGCCTGTTCTACAATGTGTATCTCGTTTCCTGTTTCTTGCTATTTTTTACAGCCTATTCTACAATTTGCTTTTTGTTTCCAGCTTTTTGCTTTTTACCTCTTGCTTTCTTCCCTCTTTACAACAATTACATTTTTTGCCACATATTTCTTGTTCCTTCCAAAATTCGCTGACTTTTTTATCTTAAGCGATAAAAAACGAAAAACAGGATAACATGGCAAAAAGACAAGATGTAAAAAGTAGTAAAATGTATAAAAACAGGAAATAAATTGCACATTATAAAACAGGCTTACATCTTCTCTTTTTGCCGCTTTCCTGCATGTCTTTCGTTTCCTATCGTCCGAGATAAAAGTTAAGCCTGTTTTTTCTATCGCTCAAAATAAAAGGTAACTTAGGAGGAAACAAAAAATATAATTATTAATAAAACGATTGCAAAGAGGGGAGAAAGCAAGAGGTAAAAAGAAACAGGAAACAAAGAGTAAATTGTAGAAATCTTTAACGAATTTCAAAAGAAACAAGAAATATGTAGCAAGAAATATAATTATTAATAAAACAATTGCAAAGAGGAAAGAAAACAAGTGGTAAAAAACAAGAAACAGGAAACAAAGAACACATCGTAGAATAGGCTTTTATGAATGAGACGGGCTTACTCATAAAGATCAATGAAATCAGATTTATTCGATGCATTTTTGCATACAACAATCTTTCATTTTTTGGCAAATCTTTATCTGGCAAAACAACATTGCTTTACTCCGCGAATCGAGATATTAATCGTTAAAGTTAATAATTATTCAGGTTGAGAAATCTATCAAATTGTTATATCAACTTAAACCGGCAGCATATGATGCTTGTTTTCACTTGTTTTCTTGGATACAGTATTACTGTCACAGTCAATAGGATGGCAAGATTCTAATCTAGCTAGCATTTCAACAGGAAAACAAGCATAAGCTTTAATAGTTTAACATAATTGTACATGTGCTGTGGTCATATTTGCATACTTGGACTACATTTAGCTACATTTTTGAATGTCCTCCCTGAGGAAGATTTTACCCTATACATTGTAGCATATGTTATATGTATTATATATTTCAAGTAAAATTTTTCTCAGAGAGAACATTTTAGAATGTACTCTTGATAATAATGCTAATTTAATGATAAATTATTCTTTGGTTTAATTAAGTTGAAAATACAAATTTTCTTATTAAGAGGTACGAAAAATTAGGAAAATTTTGTGATACAAAACCAATGGTTGTAAAATGTGATATAGACATTTATAATATGAGGTAAAATATGAAGAAATCTAATCAAAATCAAATGATGGGTCAATGAATAGATCTTGATCAAAAAGTAGAAAATGGATCTGATAGGTGTCGCGTGACAGCAATGTCTTTTCTTGCAATCAATACAGCTAAACTATATATATGAATTAAAATTATGAATTTTATATACTAATAAATTAACATGAAGGCACTGAGGAAACTAGGAAAACTTCAAAGTAATCAATCTATGAGCTCTGAAAAAAAAGCTTTATGATGCAATAAAAGTTGACAATGGAAAAATGTGATAAATAGAACCACATTCGGATTATGGAGCACCTATGCACTTTATTTATATATTGAGTAGGCTATGTATGTACCAGCCAAAGTGTCGCTTTATTGCTTCAACTTTGTTAGAATATGTTCCACTTGACGCTCACGGAATTATTTTATCTTTGTTGTTTGTCAAATGTTAAACAAGGACAAAAATGCTTGCAAACAAAGTTATTCAATCGCTAAAATGACATCGCATACGTAAAAATAAAAAATGGACACTGACACAACCCACCAGATCCATTTTTTGGTTTTTGGCTAGGATTCATTTAGCTATTCAATTTTGGTTAGATTTCTTTACATTTTACTTCATATTATGTATGTGACAAGTTACATATAATGTTTGATTTTGCACTTTACAAAATTTTCCTAACGTTCCATGCTCCCTTAAATTACAACAGAAAATCATTTATAATTCAAAATATACACTTTTTCATTCTTCTTATGTGGACTGAAGCTCAAATTTCTTTAAAATGTACTTAATATTCTCTTTAATTAATTAATAACAAATTTTCTTATATAATTTAAATTATAGCAAAAAATTGCTCATCAACAAGTAACTAAACGCATGTGCAAAAGGTCACGGAGCATGAAGAAGTGACCTCAGTATATGCTAACATTGCACTTTATCGTGGCTATGACATATTTCTTAACCTGAATAGTCATCAACTTTAACGATTAATATCTCTGTTCACGGGTCAGAACGATATTTTTTCTACCATTCTTTCATTTTATGCAAAAATGTGTCGAATAAGCCTAATATCATTGATTTTTGTGAGTAAGCTTGTCTCCTTCATAATTATCACCCTTTCTAACATTAGGCCAGGATTTTTTTGGCACTTGCTTGCATTGTTGACACTTGTCTCTTGTCTCAGGGGGATCGGCAGGAATATTCGCTAGTTCACTCCACACGTTATCCTCATTCATGACAAACGATCATGAAAAAATCAAGATTATTTAATTATGTATATGTCAGATGACGTAATCAAAGCGGTACATATAACGAGTGTCAAGTTTCGTAATCATCATTATACATCAATATTGTAATATTTATAGCAAAAACTAAGTAAATTGTATGAAGTCGCGCGCGCACGAAATATAGTAAGACCATTTAAAATAGGAAAAGGACAATACGCATTGACATAAATAGTGATAGAATTAGACAAGCGACTGAGAAGTAAATCGTAGCACTGAGGACATTCAAAATAGATGTGGTCATGTGGTATTGTGGTATTATATACCCATGGTGGAAATATACGTGAGTCGTTCCCGTGGATGCGCAGTAGCCTAAAAGTAGTGGGGAGCAGACGCAGCCAATCATAAATGCCCTATTTGGTATAAATCCAATATGGCTGTGTTTACTGTGCACAATGGATCATAAGTGATTGGCTGACTACACATGTCCTCCCCCCACTCTTTGCCGCCATTATGCGCAACGACTCACCTTGTATATTTCCAACCATATTTTATTCACTGTTGCAGATCACAAGTATTATTTTATCTATGACATAACCTATTCTGTCTTCCATCTTGAATAGTCTTCAAAATTATTATTTTTGCATTTATGGCCGCGCGTGAAAGTTCGAATGAGCAGTGCGTTGTTTAGTTAAAATTGTTATAAATCGAGAGATATTTTGTATATACATATATTCTTTCCAAATATTAGTCGCATATAGCCAAAAATAAAAAGTACTCAACATGAAATGCGTCATACCCGGCGGTAACGTCAAAAGTATGTTTATCATTCTTTTAATTTTTTTGTTAAAGAATCAGAATTGCTGTATTATAGCGCAAACGAAAATCGTCAATTTAACATCTGTTACATGACTAATTTAATCTTTTATAATTATTTGTACTGCATACATTATTAATTACAAAAGTGTATTAAATATTATTATACTATGAATTAAATAAAACTTCTCAAAAATTTAACGTATATCAGTAAAAAATTAAGATAAATTTCATGTAGTTTTTTTATACTAAATTTTTTAATTAGCATTTTTTACTGATGCAGTTTTAGCAAAGGCAATACACACACTGGCAAAGATTGGAGATGAGATGTATGTGAATCCTCAAGAGGAATCTATCTCTTTCCGCACAGTCAACATGGCAAAATCCGCATATTCAGACTTTACATTTCACAGAAGTTTCTTCTCCTATTATATTCTTGGAGATCTTGAAGAAGAAGAGGCACAAAAGTGTAAAATTTCCATGAGGGTAGTATCTATTTTAAATGCATATGTACATGATATTTAGTCTACAATTTACAGAGCGCAATGACAGTCTTCAGATCTGCACATACATTGGACAAGCAAGTGGAGACTTGTCACATTCATTTGGAAATGGATGCCTGTAATTTAGTGTTTATTTTAAAATATAAAAATGGTATCAACATGTCTCATCTAATATCCATTTTGGATTCTGAAAAGTTGCAAGTACAATAAAAACATTTTTCTTGTTAGAGTTAATTCTCAGATACAATTTTAATTTAGAGATTACTTAATGTGTTTAGAAACTACTCAAATACTTTATTAATTTTATTAATTATAGAATTAATTATAGAAATATTCTGAATATTTGATAAGTAATAATTTTTTAATATTATAAAAAAGAAAGCATCTGAGAATCAAATTTTTATCTGAACTTTATTGATCATATCAGATAATGAAATTTTGGATTAAATAGGCATCATATACTAAGGATGGTATGTCTAATGAATTGACATCACGAGCTAGAACATTTACAGAGGCTCTGCAAAATTTTCCACAAAATTTGATCGAAATAACGCTTCAGATAACACCACATAAATTATTATTTAGAAACTATGTAGATGATACATCACGTAAGAAATGTTCCAGTTCTAGCATGTATGAAAAATATTGTAGTAATTAATATATAACTATCAATTAATGTCAATTAATACTGCAGTCATATGTATTACAGTTATCGTAAATACTACACGTACCCAGCTGGCCTTTGGTATCGGAGAATTTGATCGTTACATGATTGGTAATGAAACAAGTGTCACGTTTTGTTTAAAAGAAGTCAAAGCCTTACTCGTGTTCAGTGAGAGCGTAGGCGTTCCAATTACTGCAAGTTTTGGAACAGCAGGAAGGTATATATCAAATTCTCAAACTATTTAATAGATTAAAATATATTAAAGTATATTAAAGTATTATTTCTATATATTAGTAATATATATGAGCATGTTTATATTTCGATAATTCTTGATTTTTCAATAACATTTTTTTTAGACCAATATTGTTTACGGTAAAAAGTCAAGCCTTTGAAGTAAATATGCTATTATCAACTCTAAGTCCAGACTGTGACAGTCAGTCAGACACATCGATTGTCAGTAGACAAATGCAATCTGTTCGAAAAAGGAATGTCTCAAGGAATACATCCAATCGTGTCAACAAAGTATCCTCGAGTCGAATAAAAAAATCTACTAAATCTACAGTTAATAATATGTCTAAGAATACGCTAGTAAAAGAGAAAATTCAGTCAGATAAAATACCCAACGAAAATACTTCTGCAACTACCATTACCGTGAATGCCAATACTTCTATAAATGATTTTCAAGAAAGAAATTCACGTCTGCTGAAACAAAATGATTGCTCTGCCGCGTTCAGTCCTGCTGGCACTTCTTCGGCTATTAGTAAGAAGATTTCAGGGGACCAACTAATAAATTCGAGGAAACTAGTAAATTCAGTATTTTCTAGCATTACAAAGAGAAAATCGACGAATGATGAAGAGAATCAGAAGGAGAAAGAAGATGCAATAGTTTGTATTGACCTAGATGAAAATGTGCCGCAGTCGCCACCGCGTAAAGTTGCTAAGAGAGCAAAAGTAGTTTTCCAGAAATGCTTTCAAAATACTTTTGATCCACGAATGTTACCTGGTCATGACACTATCTTGGTAGAAGATTCTGATGAAAATAATAGTGATTAATTATACCAGAAGGTTTGCGGGTTATCGCCGTGTCTTCTCATTCTTAATGCCAAATGGTATCAGTGCACCCCGCGCCCTGATGAAGTAAACGGCATGGTTCACGAAACGTCGGCATTAAGAATGACGAAAGACACGGCGATAACCTGTAAACCTTCTGGTATAATTGAAGATAATATCCGTGAAAACCTCAAATGCATAATAGTAATTAATATTATTTTATAAGACTTGGAAGAATTTTTATAAAGTCAAAAGGACAATTTGTGCTCCATAATAAATGATTTCATAACAGATTTTTCAGACCAAGACAGTAAATTATAATTGAAGTAAATTAATTAGTTATATATTATTTTGAATAACGGTTTTTAAATTTAAATCAGTGATCAGTCTTTTTTCACGAAAAGCGATGTATAAGATTATTCAATAATTGAAGATTAAGTTTTTATATAATTTCATATAGAGAGTTTTAAATAGAGACTTTTCAAACTAAAAACGTTCAATATTAAGTGATTCAATTATCTTTCATTACTCTTGATTAATATAGAGCTATTTTTCAAATAGTTTACGACGTTTATGTTTTAGTTACATGCAGGAATTTCATATAAAATTTGGGTAATTTGAAGTAATAAAAATATATATATGTACAAGTGAATTATGTTCGCAAAATAGATCTTGATACACTACTGTATATAAAATGTTCTAGTTGTAAAGATCTTGTTGTAAATAAAGAATCTTTATACATAAAAAATACTGACTAATATATATAAGTATGTAAGAAGTTGTTGCCTTATATTTGCTGCTTTCAAGATTTATTTAGTTTCCATGAACAATCGAAAATAAATATAATTGTGTGTGGGGGGGGGGGAAGCAAATAGAAATATTGAATTTTTATATTTATTATTGTAAATTAATAAAGGTAATTTTGTGAAACGAAACAAATTAATCTAATTTTTCAACTAATAGAAATTGGGAATTTGCACCATCAAAATTCTTTTCTTTAACAAAGATAGATCAAAATACCTGAAAATACCGCACACAGAAAATACTATTTTATACGTCAAAATAACACGTGCTCATTCTAACCTTACCCGACACTAGTGCTGTGGTGAATTTCTAACTGTTCGTAATTCAGTTTATTTTTCGCGTCGGACGCGTTTTCTCATTCTCGTAATTACAGAATTAGCAATCACGTAGGGGAATAACAAAGATGAGTAACGTAAACAGAATGAGACGAATATTGTTTAATGTAACTGCTCTGAGTAGTGTGGGTTTGGGGGGTTGGTGTTTGGGCAAGTTCTCCGAACAAAGGCGATATTCGAAAGACAATGGAACGAATGTATTGTCAGCAGTGCGACTCCGGAATATGCCGTGTTTGCCTCTATTTGGCACCGTTTCGGCGGCTACCCCCTTGACACCTACTGATAGTAATTATGACATGGGCTCCAAAGTATCTTCGACCGCTACAAGGGTGTCGCAGGTGAGTGAAAATCAAGGGTCGGATCAAGGACGGTTGACTAACCTCCTAGATTTATTTAATTATGTATATTTGTATAATAGCGTATAAATCAAGAAAATTTCGTAATTTGCAATTGATTTTTGACGAATCGATTGTTATATAATCGATGAACGGTTTTTAATAATAAATATAATGATAGTGATGTAATTTGATGGAATCACAAATAAGAAAAGAATTAAGTATCTTAATGACACATAGAAACTGCTGAATTATTTGTAGCATTATTACAAAAATTCTAATAGTCGTATTGGACCTTGGTAATATTGCGGCAGATTATGAAATTTGGTTTTCCCGGATTGGATCATGTCAGGTCGTATGAGGATTTTGTGCTCTCTTATGATAGGCGAAATAAAGTTGCTCATTGGGTGTTCGAGCATTTAACTAAGGAGAGATTGCAGTACTACAATGAAGTAGATCGCTCAAAGTGTGAGTTCAAGCCTGATGAGAGTATACATCCTTTTTTCAGGTAAAGAGAAATAACATTTTTTACTATATAATTTTTAGATTATTCTTAAGAAATCTGAAAATTTATTAATTTAATTTGGTAGTCTAAATTTAATCTATTAGATTGAGTAATTAATTTTGATAATATCAACAGATCACAGAATACAGACTACAAAGGAAGCGGCTATGATCGTGGTCACCTGGCAGCAGCTGGGAATCATAGAGTAGATCAGAAACACATGGAGCAAACCTTTTTTCTCACTAATATGGCACCACAAGTGGGAAAAGGCTTCAACAGAGATTCCTGGAACAGACTGGAGAAATATGTTCGGAAATTGACAAATGTTTACAAGGATGTTTACGTGTGCACAGGACCATTGTACCTTCCTAAGTGCGTTTGCTTGTTACTTCCACTTTGTCTTTGTGACTCTTGTCTATATTTTTATATTATTATTATTTACCTTATTAATGTTTAATTTTTCTATTATTACTACTGTTATTTTATAACACTACTATAAAATTCAAGTGCTTGTCTTACTCAAAACTTAATTTTGAAAAGTATTATGTAATAAATTTATACTACGTTACTTTTCATTTATAGAAGAGAAGCAGATGGAAAAAAATATGTGCGTTATGAAGTGATAGGCTCAAATCATGTGGCAGTGCCTACACATTTTTACAAAGTGATTGTTGGTGAAACTAGCGATGGCAAACTTGAAATGGAAGCTTTTGTGATGCCAAATACGCCGATTGACGATAATGCACCGCTTACTAATTTTCAGGTATTCCAAGAAATTCTCTCTCTCTCTCTCTCTCTCTCTCTATATATATATATATATATATATATATATAATATAATCATAAATATATATTTAAGTGCATAGTAATATAAACATAATTAAATTGTCAATACATTGCTTATTAATTAGAAGAAAGTGTTAAAACTAAACGTATTAGAATAATTATACAAATGTAAAAATAAGTGACGTATTGAATTTTTATTCAATATACCAATAACAAGAGACAATAAATTTATATTATAAGAATTTAATCAATTTTTTGAACAGGTACCACCAGACAGCATTGAACGCGCTGCCGGGCTTTTATTCTTCGACAAAATTTCGCGGACTAAATTAAGCAAAGTGAATGGCAAGAACACAGGCTAAATTTGACGACTACTTAATTCACTCCATTCCCTTTTCTTATTCAGAATGTAAACAATTTTATTTTCTGACACATTATCATATGTATATTTAAATCTAATCCATTATTTTTTAATTTATTGTACATAATTTTAGAAGTTTTATCATGATGTTTTATATTATTCATATGTACTATTTATTGTTTTAGCTGCTCTGTATTTTATTTTATCGAATAATAAAGATATTTGTTGGTGCGTCAATTCGTTTGTTTACATATGCGTTTATTGATTTTGTACATTTAAGTCGTCCGCTTGGAGTTGCTATATTTAATTGTGTAACGCAATGTATTATATGTATATTTTCGACTCGTTTATACCGAATAAAACAAATCTATCGTATTTTATTTCTCGACTTCTATGTTGAAGATTTAGATATAGATACTGTAACATATATTTACTGTAAAATAAAATTTATGCGCATAAATAATTTTACATGATAGCGTTTTGAAATAAATAGAAATGAAATAGTTATTTCAACTATACATATTCAGACAGTTTTTATATATTTTGACATTTTACATATTTTGACAAAATAACAAAATTGATTAAAAGAATGGTAATTGATACAAATTTAGCTTTGTGAATGTATAAGTATGAAATGTATATAATATATATACATATATTCGGTATATACATCTAGATTTTCTTTATTTTTCTTATTTCAGACGCTGGGAACTCAGTCTTGAACACAAATGCTTTATAAGTGAAGAATCAAACGCTTATAAAATTGCAAGATAAAATCTTATAACATATCGCCTCGTCGCTACTTTGGTCGTGGTAGTATAAGTACGTATTGATTAATACGTTCGTTATCGTTAAATATCTAATAGTCATATAAAATCCTAAATGTGATAAAGTCGTTAATAATCTTTTCATATCTTACGAACTATGTCTATGTACAAAATTAACAGGCGCGGCGATAATACGAGTTTTTCCATGTACGCAAAAGTTCTTTTTTATGCTCACACACATCGGAAATACTTAACACTATCGACGTTTCTTTATAATAAGTCAAAATACGTGTCGCTGCTTGACGATATTTAAGACTAATTCTTGCGAAAATAAGCAAATTAAAAGAGAACTTTATTGCAATTTAATTAAATAATGTAATTATATATAAAATTGTACTGAATAAATAAAAAAATGTGTTAAAAGTTAATTTAAATAAGTAATGAACAATTTAATAAAAGCAAAAAATATAAAATGACTAAAAATAAGAAATTTAAAGAAATTAATACAAATTTTTAAAACCAAATAAATAAAAAAGAAATGTTAAAATTAAATTTTAAATAGGACTGTTATTACAAATTTAATAAAAATTTAATTAGAAAAAAAATGTAATTGGCAGAATAGAGATACAAGAACCAAAAGTTTGAATTCGTAGAATAAATTTTCCTATGTACAAATTTCCCTTAATCTATCTATTTTTTTGCAAGCGTAAAAACATTATGCATTATTTTCGAGATCTAACATGTTTTTAAGTCGTACACGCTTTTTTGGAATATCGTTCTTGCACGCGCACTTTCTTTGTTTTTTCTCTCATTCATCAATATTACATACATCGTGACTTATAAATATCTCTTTAAGTAAAGTATAGATTAGGCACTAAAATGGACGGGTCTGTTTGCTCGGATTCGCCTCCTTCGAGTATTGCTTTACGTCTTAAGGACACTTCTGAGAGCTTTAAGTACACTTTATTATAATCTATATGATTTATTTTACGCGTGTTATTTACAGAATGTCTCAGAGAGAGAAATAGACTTTTCTTTATTATTATTAGATAAAATCTTTTTATTTGAGTATAATTATTTAATGCTGGAATATTATCTCCCGTGATTCTTAGAATTCTTAAATTTAGAATTTTTGAATCTTTTAAATATAGATTCCTAACTTTCAAAATCTATAGTTTGTCGAATTTTTAGAATCACTGAATTCCTAAATCTTCGAATTCTCGAATTTTAGAACATCGTTTATTGGTCCCAGTAAAAGAATTACGATCTTTTTAAAATGTAAATTATTTAAAAAACACAATGAGTATATATATATCGTCGTGCAATGAGTATATATATATATATATATATATATATATATACACACTTTCTCTAAGACACTCCATATTATACGTTACTCAGAAAGCTCGAAACAAAACGTTGACTTCAAAGTTCCAACGCAATGCCAAGTTTTCAAATCCACTTGATCGATAATTATCCTCTATTGGCAAACACGCCGTCAAAAATTGTATCGTTGTAAAAACGTTTCTATTTTATAAATCTTGGAATCATTGTCTACGCGATTCTTCACAAGTAATGAATTAAAAGGACTTTAGTGAAAATTTTTAATCGAATTTAAAAAAATCTAAAATTTATAATTTCATGATAAATTTTCTTTTTTTGTCTATTTTTTGTAACGATGAAACAGCGAGGACTAGAAGACGCGATGATCGTTTCACGTCAACGACTTGGCTGTTCATTGAGCCATCTGCATTCAGTCGAAAATCTTCGCAATGATGAATCACATTTTCGGAAGACTAGGCTATGCAAATGGCTCGATATATGGAAAGATTTACATTTTCAAATTCGCAGGTACGGAAATTTACGCACATAAGCAAAAAAGTTTATAATTTAATAAATTAATTATAAATTTAACTTTAGAAAAAGAGAGATGATACTATTTTATTCTTATTACTTTTCTTTCGCGTAATACAAAATCTGCTCTTTCGAAAAGCAGTTTCCACATATCGAAATTCACTCGCATTACCTAATTACAATTTACCTCCTTTCGGTTGCGACCCGATTAAATCAATCTCTCCTCTGGTGGAGGCTTCATTACATTATCCATCTCCACTCTTGGATTGCTGAACTCCTGAGCACTTGGACTGTATGTGCCACGTGTTGCACGTTTTTTCCTTGCCATCATGAAAAGTGCTACAAGAGATACCATGGCAATTAGGAGGAGACAGCCTACGATTGGGCCTACGATTACCACTATGTCGAGGGCTTGGCCGCTTAAATAATTATATTCCAGCTGAAAAATATAAATTATATATTTGTTACTGATATATGTATATAAGAATAATTGTATTTATATAAATAAATTTTATTTGTGTTTATATAATGTATATATACATAATCATAATTGCTTTTAATATTTAAAAGCTACATTTTGTATAGAATAATGATGATAGTATATACTGTATATTATTTCATGTATTCTTATTGAATCACTGACGAATTAGTTAATTTCATAACTTATGCATATGATCTGAATTTTCTTCAAATTTTATCTTACCTCTGTACAATTTCGTCCCGTGTAATTAGGAGTGCATCGACATATATATTCGCCATCGTCGCCACATTCGCATGTGCCACCATTGTGGCAGAAATCCTAAATAAAATATTAAGACAAAAATTATTTATATTATAGTAATTTAGAAGAAATTTTAAACACGTGCAAATAATTATTATAATTTTTTTGTTTAAATTTTTATTATTATGACTTTAAGGACTCGTAAAATTTTATTTTTTATTACATTTTTCCAAATTTCTAATAGCTTAGAAATTTGTTGGTATTTGTAAGTGTTATTTTTTAATTTTTAATTTATTAAATTTTTGTAAGTTCTTTTTCCATGTTATTTATCAATCGCGCTGTTTTATATTTTAATTTTCTCGGTAGAAGAAGATTAAAGAACTCACATCCTGGCACGGATTCTCCATACCGCAATTGTAGCCGCAATAACCGTCGTCACAGATGCACTGATAGATACCAGGCAGATTTTCGCATTTACCGTGCCCACAATCAATCTCTAAGTCCTGACACTCATCCACATCGATGGAACAATTAGTTCCGGTGTATCCAGTACCCTGGCAATCGCACACATATTTGTTTACTCCATCGTAGCACTTGCCGTCATTTTGACAGGGCCCATTGCCCTCAGAATCCACCGCACAGTCATCAATATTGGTCTCGCAGTACGTGCCAGTGTAACCGACAAGGCAGACGCATTTCGGCGCCTATTTAATGTAACAATAATTGCAGAATGATTAAGCGATGTAAAGAAATTCCCAAGAGACGAAATTATATAAGAATTACTAATTCTGAACGCAAATTAAATTCTAAGAATTTAGTCCAGAAACTCTCAAAGCATTTAGAATTTAAAAATAAAATAGACGAGAAATTTAATTATTCTTAATTTTTATAATTTATTGCTTTTCTATTGAAATTTCCAAAAAGAATCTAGTAAATCTAATTTTACAATAAAATGTTCAAATTATAGAACCTTAGACATTAAAAGATATAAAAAAACGCAGATGGAAGAGAGAGATATACCTTATATGGAATGAGGAACTCGCATCTGCCTCCGTTTTGGCACTTTGTGTGGAAACAATAGGGTGTGTCACAGATCGGGCCGTCGTAGCCGGGTGCGCAATTACAAGTGAAATTATCACCGGTCTTTGGATTCGGTTCGTCTGAGCAGGACGTGGTTGCTCCGCTTTTACAAGGTTCGTTCTTGCAGGTGATTAGCCGGAAGCTTTCACACAATTCACCAGTGAATTGATCAGGGCACTCACACCTGAACGAGCCTGGTAGATTTACGCATACACCCTCGTGTTTACACGGACTAAGCGTTACGCACTCGTTGATGTCACTATCGCATCTGTAATCAGATAGGAAAGAAACTCGATAAGAGAGATATCCCTTCTTAATTGTTACAGAATACAGTTTCATGGAATTTTTATCTTTATTCTGTTTTGACTATGATATGTGTGTGAGTGTATGCATATGTGTGTGTTGACTTATTTCTCATATGATAAGTTAATAAAGATGATTTAAAAATTTTTTATAGCAGCATTGTAATAGCATATACAAAACACATTATTTTTTGTATCAACTGATATTCATTTAATGTAATATTCTTTATACGTTTTACTATATTTTAATTTATTAATTATTATTAATTTCTTTTTTATAATTAAGTTTAACACACACACACACACACACACACACACACACACACACACACACATGTATATAGAATCAATTTGTAAAAATTGTAAAAAATTATTCGTTAAAATATATTATATCATATTATCTAATGATATCGATATTTTATTTAAAACATTTTGTATATATAATAATACAAATATTAATTCCTCCTCACGCGTATATAAAACAAACTTAAAATAATTTTAAAAAAAGAGAGAGATTACTCACAGCCATCCCTGCCATCCGTTCTTACACACGCAGGTATAATTGGCAATACCGTCGACACAAGTCGCGCCGTTTTGGCACTTGTTGTCGATGCACTCGTCGATGTTAAAAGAACAGTCGTCCTCGGCATAACCTGCCGGACATTCGCACACGTAACTATTGGCCTTATCGAAGCAATAACCCTTATTTTTGCAATCCGTGTCGAAACACAATTGACAACCAATGTTGTCGCGATGAGTGGCGTTATCGTTACCCTGCAATTTCAGGTATTCCAACGGAGTGAAGTTCGCATTCTGATAAACTTCTTCGTAAGTGAAATAGTGCAACAATATGTTGCCGATACGTACTTCGCCGAGACAACCCTTAAATGGTTCTCCTGTGTGCATGTAAAGAAAAGAATAATTTTCTGATTTCAAGAAAAAAATGTTTAAAACATTTTTTGAAGCACAACAAAGAAAGAGGAAGAATCAATTCTACAGAGATTAATAAGAGTTTTAAAATGAAAACAATAAGGATTGAATTTCTCGAATTTTGAAAGCCGAATAGATCAAGAATTAAAAGTTCGGGGTTTATGTATTTACATTTTAAACGATCGATATGAAATGATATTTAAATTAAACTAATTAAAATTCTTCATTATATCAAATTTTATACGCACCGGATGTCATACTATGTGGGGGCATGGCTGTCGTCAACCTATGCTCATAATCCACGCTATTGCCCTCAATTCCGTTTTTATTCTCAAGAGTCTCAGGTTTGGATCCAACAGTAAGGTAAGTATCCTTGTCGGATAAGATACTGGAAGAAATTCCACCGAGGGTGACTGTTCCTGTCACCAGTAGGTCATACCACAGTTGGAAACTGAAGTTGAGACTCATGTGAGGCTGTTCATCGGTAGGATTAGCGTAACCGCACTCCACGGAATTGTTGTTCAGTCTGATGAGTAATGAAGTCCAGTTCCCGTCAGGTTGGCTTTTACCAAAAGAGATATTATTTTGATTTTCTATATCGAGTCGCCAGGATACAGTGACGTTATCTTTGAAGACGGACACGGTGAAATGTTGATCACCCATGCGAGGCATTATGTGAAGCAGCGTGCCACCGGTATTGGATCGGTAGGTGATCTCGATGGTATCGAGTGGTACATCGCTAGTAGTACCTGTGACGTAACCATACGTGTATGTGAAGATAGTGGAAACACCGTCAAAGGTCGCATTGGCGATGCACTCGTAACCGTCGTCAAGGTTTTGGCAACGTGACCCCGCCGGACAGTCTTGCAACTGACAGAATTCCATCTCCTGGCAAGTTTTGCCGGTGTAACCCCGCGGGCACTGACACCAGAAGTCGTTCCATGTAATATGACATGTGCCGTTGTGATTGCATGGACTGCTCACACACACATCGTCCGACACCACGCCCTCGAGAACTTTTTCAGGATCGAAGGAGACATTGCCGAACTGAATAAGTGCAGGAATGTCCTGTGCCTATAAGAGACAAAATAAGAATTATTTCTAAAAGTATATATTGTAGAGACATTATTATTGCTAATATAAAAAAAGATTTTAATCACCTTTAGCGGGAAAAATTCCACAACCATCATTCTCGTACCGTTTGATATCTGCACATCTTGGATAATGCCTTTGAAATTAATTTGTGGCGCTTGTTGTACTTCCATTTGTCTGCTATCAATTACTTGGCGAATGTAGCGTGACGACTGTGGTAGTCCTCCCAGATAGAGAACGGTAACATTTAGGTCTCCTGTAGCACTGATGGTTTTACGGAAGTATTCAGTACCGTTGATTTTCACTTGAACGAGGGTGACATTTCTCGCCACTTGAATCAGATGGTTGTTTCCATCATTGAGTTTTACACCACCGACGGTGTAAGCTTCCGTGCCGTTAAATTGAATCCTGACACGCAATTCTCCACCCTCCAATTGCGCCGCTATGTAGGTCTTCTCTTGAGACTTCTGATCGACTTGAGAATCTGGTTCCGTGCCTAGATAGAAGATATCACCGTAGCTCTCCAGCGTGCGAATAAACATGGAAATGTCAACGACCGAGCTGACAGTACGCCTGGCCGCGTCGCTGGCCCTTACGGTCACGTAACCATTCGTGATGTTTTCGTAGCCAAAGGTGGCTGCTGTCATGTTGTACTGGCATGTGTGACCAAGGTAAGGACGCTCGCACTTGCAATAGAAGTCGCGCCAACGATCGGTACAGTGACCGCCGTTTTTACAAGGATTTGGTGAGCACTGAGCCTCGCGAGGACAGCCCGGTTCCACATCCTCCATGTACACAGTTTTTGATGTGGTACCGGAGTAAACCTAAGATAAAGTTTGGGATCATAAAATGTTGTTGTAGAAATTATTATAAAGATACTGCAATTAATTTGAAGAATTTGGCAGATGAAAGTTTGTTAATACTATGTAGATCGGCAATAAAAATTAACAAGTCAAAGCAAAATGAGCTTAAAATTTTTTGATAATTAATCAAAATAAATCAAGATTAATAATAGATCAACGTACCCATTCGCCGTTGATAACAACGTCTTCCATACAGCCGACAAAAAAAGTAAATGAAGGTAAGCGGGACAATCTCCTCAAAAAGCTCAAGGAGCTGATGTGACTCCCGCCCACAAAAGTTGTAGGGAAAGATGTATGGTTCGATGAATTGGAACCTTCATTGGGGCTGATGGGATAGATAGTTTGTTCTTCGTTGGCGGAAAGAACGAGATGCGTCGCGTTGATCGCTACAAAGGCCTTTTGCCAATTGGAATCGTTGAGTCCACTACCAACGAAGACTCCATCCCATTTGTTTAATATACTAGAATGTATGTTGAGTTTGCCATTTACCAACTGAAGAATATAAATGGTCACACCTCTACCGATCGCTAGCAGACCATTCGGTAAGGTAGTCCTGAAGCGAAATTGAATATCGTAGCCCTCGTCGCGCGTGGTGTTCACCAAGACATATGAACTGCCGCTTAGAGACATTGTTGTCACCTATAAATTTATCGAATAATAATACTCTTAAGATTACCTATTGTTTATCAAATTGTTTGTAGGTACAAGCGGGACACGCACCTTCTTCCTACGCCAGAAGCGCTTCGGGAAAAAGTTAACGAGTGCGATAAAGCATAATTAAGCGTGAATGATAAATACTTTTGTATTCGCAATGACTAATGATTGTTAATTATTCAAAATTATATTAAAATAGTTTAAAAAGTGCTTAATAAGAAATATAAATACTTACATAATCGCAGACTTCACCGTGGTAGCCGTTGGGACAAGTGCAGTTGAACTTGTGAATGGTTTCATCGACTAGGTAGGGCCAGCAAGTGCCTCCATTTTGACAGGCACTGCCCTGACAGCCCATTAACTTTACCGAGCAATTTTTGCCACCGTACTCCGGTTCACAAGTGCAAAAATAGTCGGCTTTACCATCGGTGCACACTCCGTGCTCGCAGGGACTGTATCTTTTGCATTCGTCAATCTCGTGCTGACAGTGATCTCCTTCGTAACCTTCGTCACACTCACAAGTGTAGCCGCCGATACGATCCATACAAGTACCTGGACCACAGGGATTGCTGTCACATTCGTTGATATTCACCTCACAATTCTTGCCGGTGACACCTTGGACGCAGAGACATTCATACCTGTCAAGATTTCAAAAATTTATTCCTTTGACATCCGAAAAAATGAAACAAGTATTCCGAAAATCATATATTTCAAGTTAATTTCTTAATACGCGCGTTTATAACGCATTTTGTGGAACGTGGAATTCTTTTGAATAAAATAACATCTCTATACAGGGTGTCCCAGAACGACCGCGAAAAATTACATGCGCAGATAAAGCGGACTTAACTAATTTAAAAAGTCATGTACCATTTTGCGATTTGAGCAATAGTATAAGCCAGCCCGCAGTTTTCCGCGCGCCCAGCGTTCTGTAGGCTTACATTTGATGGCAGTGGTAGTCGGGCGAACACGCGCGTATTTGGTAATCTTCAAAAGTTAATATCTCGTTAACTATTGCTCAAATCGTAAAATGGTACAGGACTTTTCAAATTAGTTAAGCCCGCGCGTTCTACCTGCGCATGTAATTTTTCGCAGACGTTCTGTGACACTCTCTATACGAAAAATCAATAATAAAATTAATAAAGAAATGATATCTAATTTTTAGTAAGCGTAAAAAACCAAGAGTTAGCTGAAAGATTTATTTGAAGGCTTACCCACTAGCATTGGTGTAATTAAATTCCTGGGTAAAAATCGCAGGTAAGTTCAGGGCTTCGCTCTTGTAAAGATTTTTGTTTGATCGTTCGAGACAAGTGCCATTATATTGACAAGGCGAACTCTCGCACTCATTCACATCTATTTCGCAGTTCTTACCAGTGTAGCCGGCATAGCATTGGCATTTGTAACTTTTGATGTCGTCTAAACACAGTCCACCATTTACACAGGGTCGCGGCAAACATTCGTCGATATTATTCTCACAATGCAGACCCTTAAAAATCAGAGTTAAAAAATTTCAAGTTGTAAATAAACAATTAAATTTAATAAAACTCTTACTTTTTAAATTAGATTTAAATGATGTACAAATAAATAAAAATATTAAATTAAATATAATTAGAAAAAACAATTAAAAAAATTAAATTAACTTACTTTTAAAAATTATTTTCCACAAGTTAAACATTTAATTAAATAAAAAAAATTAAATGTATAATTATAATAATAAGTAATTAGAATCATAAAATAACTGTGTATACACTTAAAAAAAGTGTACGTATAGTATAAGCGTATACGCTTAAAAAAAGATTCTATTTCATTGATAATAATTCTTTTCTTAATTTATATAAAAAAAGAGAAAATATTATTTATATTTTATAATAAAAAATTTCATTTTGTACAATTCCACGATAATAAAATAAGCTTTACCTCAAAACCAGTATCGTTGCAATCGCAAGTGTAACCATTTATACCATCAATGCACTTTCCTTGATTCATGCAGGGTGACGATTCACATTCGTCGACGTTGATCTCGCAATTAACACCGAGAAAACCCACCGGGCACACGCACGTGTACGATGCTATACCATTGACGCATTGTGCTCCGTTGTGGCACGGATTGCTGTCGCATTCATTCACGTCTACCTCGCAGGTTTTACCAGTATAACCGGGTTGGCACAGACATTGGAACATGTTGATACCATCAAGGCACGTAGCATTATTCTTGCATGGACCGCACAGACATTCGTCGATATTGATGTCACAATGATCGCCGGAAAAGCCCGGCCGACAGAAGCAGTTGTAGCTACCCTCAGTATTAATGCAGATCCCATTGTTGCACAGAGAATTACCGTGTAACTCACATTCGTTCACATCAAGATCGCAATATTGACCTGCGGATGATATTTAAAAATTCAATTTTTGCAAAAGAAAAACTGTTTAAAATATTATATTTTTCTGATAATACAAACAAGTCTCTTTTTCTGAAAAATACAAATGCATATCTTTTTATTTTAATGTAAAAAGATAAAACTATATATGGGACTAAATTAATTAAACTGCAGAGTATAATATAAAATTAAAGGAGAACACAATTTTTATCGCAATCGCGTTTGAGAAATATATTTACGTTTTTATTTATTTATTTTTTTTTTATAGAAAATTGGAAACCGAAAATTATCATAATAATAAAAACGTTACGTTCGAGGAAAACTTGGTACATTGTGTATATACAGGGGGTATCATTAACTGATTAAATCATCTATCAAGAGCAGATAGAGTAGACTGAACTGAGTCGAAAAGTTCTTTACCATTTTGCAGTTTACACAATATTTAACGAAATATTAGACCTTAAAGATAGCTGAATAAACGCGTTCGTCCGGCTTACCATTGTCGAATATCTGCCATCGTTAAGGCACGTCTCAGGCCATCCCCGCGTTTATTCGGCTATCTTTAAGGTCTAATATCTCGTTAAATATTGCGTAAACTGCAAATAATATAAAAGACTTTTCGACTCAGTTCAGTCTACTCTACCTACTCTTGATAAATGATTTAATCGGTTAATGACACCCTGATGTATGTGTGTATGCACATATGTAAAATAAAATCCTTATTTACATTATTATGAAATCGCTGTTGTGCTTCATTCATTTAAAAACTAATTCAGAGAGTTGCCTAACTTTTTAATTTCGTGAGTCATTTAATTATTTTAAATTTGATAATACTTGCCTTGAAAGCCTTCTATACATTTGCATTCAAAACCGTGATCGCCGAGATCGATGCATGTGCTGTTGTTGTTGCACGGTTTCGTCGCACAATGATCCACAATCAGTGTGCAATTGGGATCTCTGTAGCCCTCGCGGCATTTGCATTCGTAATCAGCGATACCATCAACGCAAATCTTGTCATCTGGGCACACCGCGTCTATGCAATCATCGACATTCACATCGCACACCTTCAATCACACCGTATTAAATTTAATTAAATTTGCTTTATACATTTTCGCATCAAAATTTCTTAATAAAATATAACATAAATTCTGTAAAATTTTATGAATCAAAATTACGATACCTTGCCCTCAAAGCCGTGTGGACATTCGCAAACGAATTCTCTCTTTGATCTTGGCATCAGCATACAGGTACCATTGTTTTGGCAAGGATTTACGATGCATGCATCATATTCTCGTTCGCAATTATCACCCACGAAATCTCTAGTGCAATTACAGGTGTATCCATTAACACGGTCGATACAGGTACCACCGTTCTGACATGGCTGTGATAGGCATTCGTCTACGTCGATTTGGCAATTCTTTCCTACAAAAACGTTAGTTCTCTTTCTAAGCGCGTGTTGAAAAAATCCGATACCATCAAAAATTAAAGTTAAAAATAACTAAAAATATTTGTTTTCATTTACGATATGTTACAATATTAGAAATTAAAGTTGTTGAAAAAATAAAGATGTATAAAAAAGTCAATTATAATTAAGATAATTATGGAGACTATAAAAATTATTAATAAAGGAGAGAAGATTTTGTAAGTTTGTATAAAATAAACAACTTCTCATTCACGTAAAAATGTCAATATTAGGATAATTTTATAACGTCGGAACAAGTAAATGTGTCGTTAAAATTAAACGTGATTAATTTTTACCTCTCCATTCAGGTAAGCAGGTGCAGTTGAAACCATCTTTGCTGCTCGTACAAGTGCCACCGTTGGCGCAGGGATTGCTGGCGCAGTAGTTGACAGTGCAATTAGGCGGATTACCCATAAAACCGGGATTGCAAACACACTGAGGTCCATGGGCGTCCTCCACGCAGATGCTGTTAAGCGGACAGGCTGCGTTCTCGCAGAGACCTCTCAATTCGCAATGACGACCCGTGAATCCTGGGAGGCACTCGCAGTGATAAGTGCCCACGTCGTCGACGCACTTACCGCCATTGGCACAGGGCTCGGACAAACACTCGTTTAGATTAAGCTCGCAGTTCTGACCCTCGAAGCCTGTCGGACAGTGGCAGATATAGGCGCCGTAATAATCATAACATACGCCGTTATTCAAGCACGGATTCGCCTCACATTCGTCGATGTCTACGTCGCAGTTGAGACCCTCATAGCTGAAGAGAGAAAATATCATATGTATTATAAATAGAAAAATCTTAGAATTTGTCCAGCATTATATTTTTGTGAAAATTAATGCAGTAAAATAGCAAGTTGAACAATAATGTCATAAGACATGATATATACCAATATATCATATATGTACATATATGTTATAAACTGTAATTTTGTTTAAAGTCTAATTTATTTAATTATACTTAAGAAACTCACCCGGTTCTATCACATCTGCATGTATAATTATTAATCCCGTCCATGCAGATGCCACCGTTTTTGCACGGATTCGAAGTGCATTCATTGATATTAGTTTCACAGTTCTTTCCAGTCCAACCAGCCGGACACTGGCACTTGTACTCGTTGTCTGTTAGCGCCATGCAAATGCCGTCGTTTCTACATGGATTCTGCTCGCACAATCGTACTCCCAATTGAGATTCGCAAAAGCTACCTGTAAATCCGGGCTTGCAGCTACAACTAAAGTCACCGCTCACATCTTCGTTGCAGGTGCCACCGTTGCGGCAAGGTGCGCTCTGACAGGGTGGACCTGAGAAAAAAATTCACTTTCTTATCAAAGGTATTTTGTAGACACAAAGTCGGTGAAAGTAAAATGGAGCGATATTAATCGCAATGGCATTGATTAATTGCATGCAGAAGTAAAAAATCTTTTTTAAAATAATATTTCTTATTTTTTTATAATTGTATCTATTTAACAATAAATATAATTATAAGAATTGTAATTACATTATTATAAGTCTGAAAATTATAAATAAATAATTATTGACAAACTTATTAAATACACTAAAAATATTAAAGACAAAAGAAAAAATAAAACTATTGAAAACAAATATTGGTTTCTATATACTTAGTTTAAGTGGAATGTAAATATCGACGATAAATTTATCTTTTACAAATACGATAATATTTGCATATTTATAACTAAACAGTTTTTTACAAAGCAACTTATTTTGTTAAACTTTGAGGTAATTTTCTTAGTAAATAATGTCGTTCAAAGAAAAAAAAATGGCAAAGCGATACGTATCTAAAATATATAATTGAGTGATTTTGAAGCAAATGTTTGAATGTGAGGCAAAAAGCATTTTTATAAATTTCTATAGATTGCTTTAAAGCAAAACAAATCTACATTTACTATGTACGAGAACTAGTGAGAGGAAAGACAATGCAGAATTCATACCCTATCTATCATACGCGCAGCAGTATAATTATATTAGATTTTAATCTTTTATGAGACAAAATATGTTGGTATTAAAAATCCTAATACAGTAAAAATGATATATAACAAATTTCTCCAATAAAATAAACTTAATTCTTTAATTTATAGACGTATAATTATTTTGCGGTGCGACAGTTATACAGTGTTTAAAAACATAATAATTTCATGAAATTGTATTTAAAAACTATCTTCTGGTTAACATTTTTTATTCTTATTTTAATATACTTAATTCACGCTTCAAATATAGCTTCAACACATTTTGCATATAAGTATAACATTTTTAACTTATCTACAGTATTTTTTAAATTTGATTTTGCATTATTCTCATGGAATATTTTCGTGAAACTATAGGAATAAATCTACAATAGGACGATATCTTCTCGTTACGGCGTAATTATATGACGTAACATTGCCGTTTAATGCGCGCGTCGGGTATGAATCCGCTTGCCCCACATACGCCATAAATGCCGCGTATTCAAGGTATCGACGAGGTCTACCATTGTCAATTTGACAGTTGTTGCCGGAATATCGGGCGTAACAGTGGCACTCGTAACGATCCTGTCGTGACACGCATTTACCATGCATCATGCATGGCTCGTGGTGACAGAAATCCACAGTGGCCATTGTGGCGGTGACCCCTGTGCCGAGACCGCTCGTTCCACCTGAAAATTTTTTATTTTTCACAAAACTCGCATGCAATAAGTGCACTTTACTCAGAAAAAACACGTGCAACGTTATTTTAAAAGATTTTTTCTTTCTCTCTTGTCTTCTTCTTTCCTGTTGTAATCTAGTTTTGTATAAAAATAATGTAAAAGATTTACAAAAAAAAGTATCACGATAAATCATTTCTAAAGAAAAAGAAAAAATTAGTTAATAAAAAATTCTTTCTTATTTTTCAGTTCTGATGAGACGAAAGCACATGCTGCATTTAATACTTATAAATAATCAATATATATTGTAAAATATAAAAATGAGATAAATCAAACAAAAAAGAATTATTTAGTATGATATGAAATAAAAAGAAATTAAATTAAAATTATTAAAACAATTTTTGTGTTTCTCTAATTTGTTCGCTTATCTCTAGATTTTTCACGTTGATATTGTGATATCTAATCTGCTATTATCACTCAATAATTGCTTGTCTAATTATTATCTAAGAACATATTGTTTACAATGAGCACGGTATTGATGTAGTACTATTGCAATATTATCGTCCGATGACTTAACTATAATTGCTATGGTACTTGTGTGTATATATAGCAACTACGCTAACGATCTAGCATGTCATATGTGATAATTCAACGCTTATCGGTGCAAAAAAAGTACTCTACGGTAACTCAGAGAAAAAAATTATTTTAGTAAAAAAGTTATAGATTTTCTTACATCCTTTGCTGTCCAACAAGCAGGGTCCGAAAACGGCTCCATTATTAATGCTGCCGTTGAAGAGAATCCCAGGCCCTTGCAAGATACAACCTCTGAATCCTTCGCCAACTATGAGTGAACTGTTCACGTCATAGTCAGGAAGTGTTAAGATGGCGGAATTGTAAGTTGCATTCGCAACCATCTAAAGAAAACGTTTCTTATATATATATA